TTACTAGAAGAGGCAGTCTCAGCTGTCTAGTTTTCATCGGGCTTTCACCAAGAGTTAGAAGTTTCCCCTCAATAATAAAGCTGTTAAGAAACGTACAGCCATCCGGCGCACTGCTTTTCTCTCGCAACTGCTCCCAGCCAGGACAAGTTAGTGAACCCACGGAACTTTGTTGATACTTGACACACACTATAACTTTTTTGTATAACAATTATTGATTTCGTAAAATATCTCGCCTAAACGCTTCAAATAATCGAAATTCGCATCATAACATAAAGAGAAAGTAGGTTTTGTACTTTAATAGGTACTTTATTTAAACTTTTAATGTTGTCTTTTTATTATTCATGGATTTATTAGTTTAAAATTAAAAAAGTTTTTGATGAAATCATATTGCCTTGGCAACGTTTAAAATATACCCTGATGAAAGAGGAACTCAGCTGATAACATTAAACTTTTCAACTTAGATAACTTATGACCAAGTTGATTCAAGTTTATAATATATTTTTTGTCGCAATATCTGAGACTGGCATTCAAAAGAAATAAATACAAAAACTAGACAGCGTAAAAGAAAAACGTAAATCATTATATTTATTTTTAATCAAAGTGCCTTTATAGAAAAATACAAGAAAAACTTATTCATCCACCGTAATTTATTTTTCTATTCATATCATTCAAGACTACTTGGGTGGTGTTCGGTATATTGGGAATGACACTCCTTGCTATAGTTATATATACATCGTCGCACATAGCTCTCCCACGTGCCGAAATAACTAAATTATCCAGGATCATTCAGTGTTTAGTTAATCATTTAGCGAGCGAGCGATTGGGAGCGAGACCGAATACTGAAAACTGAAACCGACTAAATAGAGAATTTACCCGAAGGTGGTAATCCCTCCTATTCAGGCGCACAGTGGCACACCGTGTGGTTTTAGTCGGTCCGATTCCGACACACTACCCCGCTGTAAACCCCGGTGTATTTTATACATAACAAATATATTTTTCAATAAATTTTTCATTTTACCTCTAATAACTTGATATTTTATAATACATATAAATTATAATAACTGTATGGCAAACGTCTAGCGAAAAGCGAAAGGAACTTCGTTCCAACCATAGGCCTGCCCCTCTCGCTGTTTTTATTAAACTTCGGATTTGAAATTATTTTTTTCTTAATTCGATTAAATTGATTTTGATTTAAACTATGTGTTTAAGTAATAAATTTCTTTCACAAAACGTAGCCCTTTATTTTTAAATTAATTTCAAATTAAAATAATTCTTAGTTTAAACACGATTTAGCAGCATTAAGAAAATATAATTTATAAGTAAAATTTTAAAAATGTTTATTTACACAATAAGGAACTGCGGTGTAGAGATACCATTAAAGTTAATTTGGTTCATATATCACCGCGAGATAACCATCAGTAACTTTTCTACGCTACGGAGAACCAAATGACTTATCTGTGGCGATGTATCTTTGATGGGAAAAAGAACAGGAGGCGAGGTTTCTCGATCCATACGTAGTATGGACACTACTGAAACAAAGAAGAAAATTGCTTAAGTCGCTAAGAGGTTGAGAAATAGTTATGAAACTGCAAAAGTATACATGAATTATCTTCAAGACTTTTATAACAAATAAACAAACAATTCCAAAAACATTGTTTTACAAAATTTATTTTAAAACGTTATCTAAGCACACCCAGCAGCAGCACTGTAGCCATAATGAACTTTGTATAATCTTGCATACGGTAAGTTGATTCATAAACTGTCCTTCTGAGTGATGGACAAAATGAAGTAAATTTTGTGTTTTAATATTCTAGTCTGCTTTTCTCTAAGAATTTTTTATTGAAGGATTCTAATCTTGCGTTGTACAAACGAATTGTTTCACATACATACATGCACGAAGAATTTATGAAGTAAGCTTTTGCACATGTTCAACACGCAATAAGTGTACGACAGAGTGTGGCCTTTGTTATATTTATATGCAACACCGTGTGGTATTTATATTAGACTTGCATCGAATATGCGGTTACTATTCGGTATTCGGCCTATTCGGCTGCTTTTATTATATTCGGCCGAATACCGAATATCTACATATTATTCGGCCGAATACCGAATACTTAAATAATATATTTTGTCATTGAGAAATAATTGGTAAAATGAAAAATTAAAATCGATTGATTACGTATATATTCACATTTTCATTTCTGTTATAATCATTTAAGTAGTCATTGGTGCATAACACAGGTACATAATCATCTTCTGAATAGGAAAAATGGAGGATTCTATGTATTTGAATTATTGTGGTAATCAAAATTTAGAAGGGTAAGGTTCTCATTTCTTTTATAATCATTTATTAAGTAGTCATTGGTACATAAAACAGGTACATAATTTAATTCACGTCTGTACAAGTTTTTGGCGCTAAAATCTAGCCGAATACTTTTGCCTAATATTCGGCTATTCGGTCAGGGGCCTCGCCGAATATTCGGTATTCGGTATACTGCCGAATATACTATTCGTTGCAAGTCTAATTTATATGCTTATAAATAAAATGACTTCTTGGTTTGACTAGTTTGTATTATCTGTATTTGACTGGACTGATCTCTTAGACTTTTCGTTTAGACCTCGCAGACGTTCGCTTGAAATAATTGTCGAATCTTAAATTAACCTCACTCAACGTGCTCATCTCATCAATTTTGAAGTTGAAAAAAATTGAATATTTTTGGCCAATTAAATGTAGCAAGATACCAATTTCACGATTCTCACCTGACTTGTCCTAGCCTATGACCAACAAATAAAGCTCCATTTGCTGCCACCATGTATGGAAACTTTCTGCATACGTGACCTTGAACGTGGTCATGGCCGCCGACCTTTGCCGATCTTGACATTTTTTTCAACTCTTCAGGCTCCATGACTTCTGACACCATGTTATAAGTTGAATCTCTACAGTCAGCCAAACCAGTAAGATAATTAATTTACAACAACCCAAATACCACATGTTTGAAGGATTTACCTACCATATAGGTACTAAATACTACAGCCAGCTAACAGCTACCATATATTTCTCGTACATAAATTTTAATGATAGTCTGATGACTTTTAATGAATCGCAAAACGCAATAATTTTCATGATATTTCTCTAGTTATTTTAATTCATTCAATTCAATTCATCCATTACAGTTTTTAAAACTTATCAATTTTACGATTTATTAATCGATCAATACGAGAAGTTTGATAAAAACTTATGTACCACCGGCTTTTCATCCAATGAAAAACTGACCGCTGCCTGAGGCCTTTATTTTTTTATATTTTATGTATAAGCACATATAAGTTTTCACAGGGTAGACCGATTTTAAAAATCCTTTTTTTGATAGGTATATTTCGATTCGGTGTATTATTATTATATTTTAACCTTACAAGTAAACGGAAAATAGTAATAAAAGTAAACTTGTTAGCCTAACTAAACTAATGTGAATCTAATGTGAATACCTAAAAAAATAAGTACACAACAAACAAAAATAAAATGAATTTGATGAAATTTGATGGAAAACATTTCATCAAACGAGAAAAGTCATTTCATCATACTCGCCAGCCCTGAGTATTGTGCTTAGGGATTCCAAACCAGTAAAAACAGACTGCGAATCCGGGGGATCCAGCATCATTAAACTTTTACCGGATCTAATACCGATATACCGGATCCAATGTCCGGATTTGCTGTTAGCAATAAATGACAAAATCAAGCTTAAACAATTAATCAAAAACAGATAACCAATGGTTTTTTTGTGATACTTGTGCTTTACATTGAACTAATTTACTAAATTTTCTGGTTTTTGGTATATTTCAGTTTTAGATGTTCGCGTCACAATTGTAAATATTAAAAAAAAAGATTTTAATGTGACTTTTCGACCCTAAATCTCTTCTATTGAACTTAGGGTTTGAATTTATTAAATCTCACCGGAACTAAAACTTAACAACTCAAAGACAATTCCTATTTCAAGTTGAATGTTGCCATTATTTAAAATAATCTATTAGTGGCTGAATGAAAATAAACATCGTTTGAAAATAAACTGAATAAACAATAACATCCAAAAACAGAATGTAACAAACATGATTTAAAAAAAAATTGTCGTTGTTAATATTTTCATATTAAATTTCTCAATAACTACAAGTTCTGTTACAATGCAGGCTTAATATTGCAGTTTATACATATTTGACACAGCAAACAAAGTGTGAAAGTGATACTCATACTGAAATGAGGCTTCTCCTTTATCTGTGACATATCTAAAAAATATTAACACATTAATTCCTAAAATTATTTTTACTATAGAAGAACAAAACCTTAGTACATTGTCTTAATCTATGGACATCAATTCGAAATATAGAGTTATTTGAACGAATAATGTCAAGTTAATTTAGTCTATACCATAGAATACGCTATATTTAAGAATAAATGTATTTATTGAGACTTGCAGTGACATCTGTCAATTAATTTTGAACCTACACTATAACGTATACTTTGAATGTTGTTGGAAACGGAAAAACTTCGTGTATAAAAGGAATAATTTCGATTTATGACTAATAATGATGATTACTTCTGTAATAGTAATATCTACTAATACTGTAGAAGAAATGCTTTCATTTTTAAACAACGAAGTATGACCAACCGCAATTATAGTAAAAGCAATTACATTTCTTATAAGAAATAATTCTAATGGGTTAATTGCAAAATTATATGCCCATTTTTTTTGCTACTTACCCAAAAAATAACAATTTCATACACATCATATAAAAAAAAGGTTATTTTTACCTACACTTTATTGTCTACAACTCGGAATGAATAAATTTAATGGTAACGCCATCTTTCGATTAATGTTGAACCTATAACCTATTTTAATGTTCATTAAAAAACTACATGTTTGAGCTCTATCCAGAGATAAAACACTATAAACCAAAGATCTCTATTGTTAGGTACTCAATTTCTCAACAAAAGTCTGCAAACCAATAACATGTGTTCTAATCCAGATTATCGCATTATACATTCAATGCATCAGTTAACTGTCAGTAATATTAAAGGAGAGAACGTAAACTTAAAAGTATATGAAGGTCATGTTTGTATCATTGTAAATGTGGCTTTTAAGTGTGGTCTCGCTGAAGTCACCTTCAAGGAGCTTAATGAATTGTATGAAAAATATGGCGAAGAGAAGGGATTACGTATACTTGCATTCCCTTGTAACCAATTCGGAAATAGCGAGCCAACTACATCAAAAGAGATAATAGATTTGGCCACAAAGATTGGTATAAAGTTCGATTTGTTCGAAAAAGTTGACGTAAATGGTGATCATGCTAGTCCTTTATGGAAGTTTTTAAAACACAAACTAAAGAGTGACAAAGGCAATTTCATTAAAATGAACTTCACCAAATTTATTATCAACACAAACGGGGTTCCAGTGGAACGACACGATGCCAAAGTAATGCCAAAAGACCTAATATCATCTATAGAATCATTATGGTGATTCAATTTCAATTTCAATTCAAAAACCTTCTTTCTAAAGAGAGGCCTCTAGAACTATGTTCAGCAGTGGACTATTAAAGGCTGTTGATGTGATGTGAATAGGTAAAATGTAAAGCTTTTTTTTTATTGTGTATGACAATTTTCGTCGATATATATTGTAAAATTTTACATTTTTATCTTTAATAAATGTGTTTTGAAGTAATGGGACTTTACATGTATTCATAACATAATATAAACATGTTTGTTGACTAAAAATGAATCCAGAGCTTAAATGACCGCAGATAGCAGAGACCGATTTTTAAGGACTAATAAATACGACTGATGGGTATTTATGATTAAGTGTAAAATTTATATTATATAACATACTCGTAGTGCTCATGATTTTCATAGAGAAGGGGTCTTATCTACGTCTAACATAACCAAATCATGTTGTCTAATAAGAATATAAAATATAATAATAAAGTACAAGATTCGATTGTCTACTGTGAAACGATATCATGATGGAGATCATACTCCATATCTAAACTCTCGGATTAAAAAATCATTAAGTTGGTATATTTCATACTGAGTAGTATAAATATTCACTACTTAAGATTATTAAGCTGTAAAAAGTTATATGAGGATAAAAGATTTGACTTTAAAAGCAATCCGCGTTTAATTAATTCCAATGGTGGAACTCTACTAGTTAGCATGGCGACTTCCACATACAGAAAAACAAAACTTACTACAGCACCATCTAACGAAGAAATACCGAACTACGGAGCACTGCAAATCCTCTATCGCTATATAAATAACTCGCTCGCCGAATAGCACATATACTACTTCCTTACATCAACCGTTGAGCCACGACTCGCCAGGCACAATCGCCTTGCCTGGGCGGAGAATCCTCCCTTTATGTTGGAGTGACATAACACCCGTTCCTGTTCTCTGTTACGAATTATAAAACAATTTTGAGATCTCATTAACTTAATTTAAATTTTTATTCGCATTGGACGAGTCAAAGTAGTTAGTTCCAGACAAATATAAATTGTGAATTGGGTGAGTCAACGCTTACATATGCGGGTTTTACAATTTTATAAATTGACGCGTGCTTAGATCTCGGTACTTTTAATAGTTTTATAATATATTAATACCAGTTGTAATAATTCTTGCTTGCCCATTTCTCGTAGTTCCCATAAATGTTTTACTCTTTTCTAAAGAAAGCATATCAGGTCCCACATTGATCGTCTTGAGTTCATTACCAAGCACCATTATCTTAACAAGTAGTAAGTGCTGGGTTTGACACGGTCAGCTCGGCGTTTTTAATGCGCAATGCAGACCTTTAGGCCTTACAATTTTTATGTACTCGTATATTCTCAATTTCTATCTCTGTTAATTCCTCCTCCCCTGGTAGGAGCTCGCGAGCTTCTTGGATTATAGCCAAACGACCTCTGACTCGAAACTAGTGTAATGGCACATTGGGCTCACCTGTTCACGATTTAAACTCATGTGGTATATACAGCCACTGCAATCAAACTAAAACATTTAGTAGATGGCACGGCTTATGTGTCTAGTTTAATACTTTTTTGGTCTAGATATTAAGGATCCAGACTATTAAACCAGTTTGCATTCCCGTGCGTGCGAAAAAATTAGTTTAGATATACACTTTTCTACAATATGTGTGTATTTTATAAATGCTGTCTCTGTCTACTTTAGAATTAGACGGCTGTGAGTAAGTTGTTTAAAGTTATTACATTATTATTTTTAGTATAAGTATATAAATCATCTTCATAAAACAAGATTAATAGTAGGACTATTTTAAATTTTCAGCAATCATTGTTGCTATGCTGGCGGGCGAGGAGGGATGCGTCGCAGTGGTCTCTTTCTGTGAAGCTGTAATGCTCCAGAAAGAGACCGCTGAACGGGATCGGGAGAGGGCCGATCCCGAGCGCGGAGAACGTCGCCGGCGATACCGGCAGTCGATAGGGCCGCAGAGTGCCAGAGAGTGAGGACCTCTGGTGGCAGATTAAGTGTTGCAGTAGGCGATAGGATCGCGATTCCGACGGCCCGCGGGCTGCCAGAGAACGGGAACCTCTAGTGGCAGATTGACTGCTGCGGCAATAAGGGATAAGGCAGCCTGATTGCATTAAGACGCATTGGGCCACCACGTCGCGATTGAGGGGGGAGATGTTTTTCCCCTGGGATAGGGCCTGATTAGGCATGGTGTCAATTCGGGGAGGACCTGAAATAACATGGTCCGGGTCCTCCCAGAGTAGGGCACCTGAGGCCGGCCGTCGGAGTGGTTTTTAGTGGAATCACCACATCCTCCTGGCAATTTTTTTTTCCTAGGACTTTCCGAGTGTCATTACTCGGTGTGTTCATGGGTCACTACTGTTGATCCTGGTGCTCAGGAGTTACAGTGGTGGGCGTGTGGGAGGGACTAGTTCCATACTCCTGGCTCCTGAGCCTCTGATTAACAGGACTATTTTATTTAATCAAGCAATGTGTTTGGAATTTTTTCCATTAAATTTTAGCTAAGCAGGTCAGGATAATAATTTACTACGAAATATTATTAAGTCATGATATGAGTTTTACTGGATTTCAGGAGAAGCTGGCTATTGACCTCTTTATATCTGTAGCTCACGTAGGACCCGTAATATTTTGGGGCCGTGGTGCTTCCCTGTTTGAAAGGCTGTATGCCCATTTTACTTCATTTTGGCTCCCGCTTTGCTAAGGAGGGAAGTGGATTTACTGTATTTCCAACTCCTCCAATTTTCTTCTGATTACTTTCGTTGCGGGTTCCAAGACAGTTTAATTTCTTCCTGGGACTGCCCGAGTGACATAACTCGGTGTATTCGTGGGTCACTGCTGTGGATCCTGGTGTACAGGAGTTACAGTGGTGGGCGTGTGGGTGGGATTAGTCCCAAAAAAGCACAAAACTTAAATGCAACAGAGTGAACAGAATCACGCTTCACATTTTATACCTACTATAAGCTCGCTTGTACCAATGTCCAATGCCCTACTTTAAAGTATGCCCTATAATTTGCCAAATATAAGCCAATTTCAATCCACAGATCTATGTGGTTTTTAAGGCATTAACAAAATTACATCGAGTACACCACCTACAAAGGCTAAAGAAAAATACAGTTATTATTAAATCTAAACTGTTATTTTTCTGTTTATTAAAATAGGAAGACCCTATTTATTTCAAACTATCGCCTGCATGTATATTAGTTTTATAATATTAGTCTAGGTAAGAAGTTATTTAATTTTTTAAATAACTTTTATAGGTGTGACTTTGACTTGAAATTTCATTCGATTTCTTGGTTGTTTCTTGGAGATCGATCAATAAGCGACCTTGTTACGCAACAACAGTCTCGCCTTGATGAAATCTTCATTTACCTTTAGACAGAATAACGTAATGATTGTTAATATGTATCTTACAATTATCTCACTTGTAGCATCACATCGTTCACATCTCACGTTAACCCACAAAATTTCATTTATAGCTTAGATATTACTATTAACTCTCTAAAGACTTTTAAGACTATAGTGCTAATTGGTGACATAAATATAGATATATCACCGATAAATAGTGACAAACACTCTGACTTCTATCTTGACACACTTGCGTCACATGGCATGCTTCCTGGCCATCTCTTTCCCGCTCGTGAACAGAGATGTATTGATCACTTGGCCATCAAATCTAACAAGTCTGCTGTAACCTTGGTGCTGGACTTTTTTATTACAGACCATGCCCCTGTAATTATTTCTTGTTATTGTCACCTTACCAGCTCTAAGGCCGCCACACAAAAACTTCGCATTGATGTAGAAGCTTGCGTGCTAGCTCTTGAACAGACGGACTTTTCTCGTGTTTTTAAATGTGACGATGCAAATATGGCGGCTGCGGAGCTCGTCAATACGATTGCTGCTATTGTTACTAAAAAAAGATCACTAAAACCTTGGGTTTCACCTGGCATTCTAAGGTGTATTCGACATCGGGATAATTTATACCGTAAAACAAAAAACGTTTCCTGTACTGAATTTCAGAAAGTTACCTACTTACGTTACAGGATTTTTTGTAACAACCTAATTAAAAAATTAAAAGCCGAGAATAAGCGAAATGAATTTGAAGAACATCGCATAAATCCCAAGGCTACGTGGAACTTAATAAAAAATATCACCAACATCCAGAAAAAAACGACCACATCAGACGAACTACTCTCTCTGTCGGGTTCCCCCCCTAGTCGATGCTGTAAATCACTTTTTCGCGAATGTAGGGAAAAATGTGGCATCTAAAATCTCTCCAGGACCATTACACATTATTTGCGAGCGCCGAACCCTACTGCCAGTAATTCCCCTCTGAATTCTATGGGTGTCTTCGTTACAGACAACGAGAAAATAAAACGCCTTATTTTAACTCTGAAATCAAATAGTTCGGTTTGATGGGATGGCATATCTTCCTCTCTGGGTAAGGCTTCCAGACATTTTTTAATACCCGTTATTTGCCATGTATTCAATCTTATTATGACTACCGATACTTTTCCATCTGTGTTTAAAAGAGCCTTAGTCCACCCAATATACAAGAGTGGAGATAGAGACAGTGTCAGCAACTATCGACCTATATCTGCCTTAAGTACTCTTTCCAAGATTATAGAAAAAATATTAAATAATAGACTCCTTAATTACCTAAATTCAAATAAAATTATTGTAGACAACCAATATGGCTTTGGCAAAACAAAAAAACCGAAGACGCCGTTTTGGAGTTAACAAGTTCTGTTGCTAAAAACATTAATAATAAGTTGAAAACAATAGGCATCTTCCTTGATCTTTCTAAAGCTTTTGATACTGTCTCTATTCCGCTCTTTCTAATGAAACTTGAACTAATTGGCATTAGAGCTACCTCTCAATATTTTTTAAAGTTACTTAACTAATCGTACCCAAAGCGTTACTATCGGTGGCTATACAAGTGGAGTAGAACATCTGAACTGCGGCGTTCCTCAGGGTAGTGTCCTCGGTCCTACCCTGTTTCTTATTTACATTAATGATCTATGCAAGCTTTCCCCATCTAACGCTAAAATTATTACCTACGCAGATGATACAGTATTACTGATTCATGGTAAAAGTTGGGATGATGCACGTTCTTTTGCTGTATCTGCTCTGCAAACATTATGAATTGGCTAGCTAATAACCTTCTTACACTTAACTTAGAAAAAACGAAATTCATCACTTTTTCTCCAAGAATTGCATCTCAGCCTCCCTCTTCTTTTTCCCTCAGTGCCCACCCGTGTTCTACTACTCAAAATTGTAATTGTATTGCTATTAAACATATGCATATTTGTAATCAAACATTTAAGAACGGCTGCCAACCTACAAACACTGAAAATGGTTTATTTTGCTCTCGCTCACTCTATGTTGACCTACTGTGTTACTGCATGGGGTTTTAATTTCGTTAGATACTGTAGATACGGACAAGGTGAAATATTAGTACTTAAATAATATATTAATATGTGTTTGCTCGTATACTGTATATGGGGCACTATATACTGGGATACGTAATGACACCGTTTCAGCCAACCGCTTTGCGAAAGCATTCGCTCGCTCTCGCATCCGCTTCAGGAAGCTGATGTAATGTTTCCCATATGTCGAATAAATACCTAGCAACTTCGGGCAATGCGACAGCTGTGCTGCACGCAGAATTTCATTGTTCCACTTTTATTGCGGAGCACGCATCTCAAAATTCTACATGCTGTGAATAGGAACGTTTTACTTTGAATATTAATTGATAAAAATAAATGTTTGAAAGGAAATAAATGTGAAACGAACATCTAAAGAATAATACAAGTTTAATTTTTTTTACATGATCGCCTAAAGTCATCGCTACAGTCGTCTAATAAATATTTTTTCTCGTGTACTTTTTTTAACTAAAAACTATACATATATTGATAAAACAATAGTATAGTAAAAATTATGTGTACCTCGGGCAGACATTGCAGTTAGGTAGAAACAACTTCGAGGACGAGGTGAACAGAAGAATTCGGTTGGGTTGGGCAGCGTTTGGGAAGCTACGTCGAGTCTTCTCATCGTCGATCCCACAGTGCCTTAAGACGAAAGTCTTTAATGAGTGCGTCCTACCCGTCATGACATACGGAGCTGAAACGTAGACACTTACGGTACGGCTGGTCCACAAGTTCAAAGTCGCTCAACGTGCTATGGAAAGGGCTATGCTCGGCGTTTCTCTAAGGGATCGCATCAGAAATGAGGTGATCCGGCAGAGAACCAAGGTCACCGACATAGCGTACCGGATCAGCAAGCTGAAGTGGCAGTGGGCTGGCCATATTAGCCGCAGAACCGATAACCGTTGGGGAAAACGAGTTCTTGAGTGGAGACCGCGTTTCGGCAAACGTAGTGTAGGACGCCCACAGGCCAGGTGGAGTGACGATTTGCGCAAGATGGCTGGCAGGAGCTGGATGCGAGAAGCCCAAAATCGATCTAAGTGGCGTGCAATGGGAGAGGCCTATGTCCAGCAGTGGACTGCGATAGGCTGATGATGATGATGATGATAGTATACAAGTTAGCTCAAAAAACCACACTACTCTACAATTTCATTAATTAAAACACGAATATAAAAAAACCTTTGTCCGATTTTGCATGCTCCCATAGCCATGATATTTGACAGGTTCGATGAAATGATTATACTACGTATGTAGAGTCATTTATATTAAAAGTGCTGCAAAAAGATGAGGAAGGTTATAAAATCACTTCTCACGTGACTTTATTTAGTGTAATAAATAATTGTGGGTAACCAGATATGTGATCTCCGATGACAAAACAAAATTTTATTATTTCTGTGTATACTTACACTGATAATAAAATTATACTAGAGCATCTCTTATTCTAAGCAATACTTTTAAGAATACTAGGAAGGCAAAACACGTTTTTCATTTACGCTGAATTGTATTAGTCGTCATCTCTAATTTACACCTTTTCGTGCAAACCCAGATTATTCAGATATCAAATAGTATAGTTGTTTCCTAGGAGGATCCAGGTCCTATATTCAAATCTACAAGTAGGTATAAAAGAGAGGCATAACTAAGATTGAGTCCAGAGACAACTCTTTTTTCGAAGTTTCGGGTCTTTCTGTAAACGAATCGTGTCGTCCTGGACTAGACACAATACATGATTGTATAAAATTTGTTTTCAAAATTTTAAAATTTTCATTAAATTTATACAGAAGGAGGCGGCGGAGAGAGCCCAGGAGGACAACCTGTACTCGGACCCAATTCGTCGCCGGCGAACCGGGCGCAGCAGCAACAGGGACTGTTAATGAAATCGGTAGCGTTTATAGCCATTGGTACGAATTACTTCCAGATTGTTTCAATAAAAAAAATATTATTAAAGCCTGAGCGATAGGCTTTAAGAAAAGCTGAAGGTGTAAGAATAACCAACTTTTTAATCATTTACACATATTGTTGTTGTCATCAAAAATATTTTATTTAAAATATAACAATATAAATATAAATAACATTCAGGTATCTTGCCAACTTGTAACTAAATGTTGATTATTACTAATTGATGTATTTTAACAGTAAGCAATAAAGTATTTTACTCACTAAAATTTATAGCGAATTACCCTACCAATATACTCGTAAAGAATGTCTCAAAATTCTGATTTGTATCAGGATTTTCAAATATTAGTACCTACCGAAAGATTTTGACTGAAAAACAGGATTGAATATCTGAATATCCCATATTCTTATTCTTATACAACATCGGACACATCATGAAATTACTAAACTGTAGATATTTTAGAATGTTTGTAATTCAGGTATACAGTTCAAAGCTAGGTTACCACAAAATAATAATGTCGACAACTTAAAAACACTAGTGCCAACCAGATAAGTAAACTCAGTAAATCTCATCAAAATTAATAAAAGACGAAGCAGCTCTAAGAACTGATACAGCTCGAGATTGCGAGCGTTCGCGCCTAGATGGAGTAGGACTTTTGGTAGGAGCAGCAGACCTCGGCGGTGCTGCTGGCTTGTGCAGCTTACGTGGATTGAAAGAAGCGCGCCACTCACTCGCCAAGGCTTCCCGGAAAGTGACCTAAAATATTCAATATTATTAAACATACGTACTATCAATTCATTTATGTCGTCCATAATAATTTGGTATGATGCTGGGCTACGCCACCGACGTTCACACCACATGCCATGTAAAACCAACATTATAGCATACTCTGTGATGTAAAAGGAATTTATAGTGCAAGCTCCTAACGTTTGCTAGTGATACTGTAGTTCCGTTTTAATTTGCAATTAACAAGAATTTTACTCGACTTAGTTACCCCAACCAGTGCAAGTTATATTAATCCCGATTAAATGCCAGAAAACGATTGGAGTTACAAAAAACTGTTGCAAATTTATAATACATGATATATATGTAAATTGTGAATGTTAAGAGGGCACAAGGATATGGAGTATATGGCAATTTATCTGTGTAGAGTACTAGAAAGGTCTTAAAATGATAAACACTTCAGGTAAATAACTTGGGGTCACCGTAAGCCAACAGCTTATGCATGGAAATAGAACAATAATTATGTGCTTATCCTTTCATTCTGTCTCATCTTTTCCAATGTATTTTAAATTCAATACAATGTGTGTATACCTTCTCTTGAACACTGATCTCCCGAGCATGAAACATAAAGTCCACAACCGCCACAAAGAGTCCCAAGATGCCTCCTGTGCCCAATACTAAAAATATACCGCTTGTGTTTTCCATTTGTAAAGACCCACTATCGTCTTCCTCGCCCCCTCCAGGTTTCTGAAAAAAAAATGAAGTTAAAAAAAATACTTGGTCAGTGTTGTGATGGACCTTATTTAATTTCAGTAGTTAATACTGAAATTAAATAAGGTCAACCTACACGATACACAACGACTTTGGTTAGAAAAACATAATATTTGTGAAAATTCTTGATATTTATTTACTTTGGTCATGAAGAAAGGTATCCGTTAAAGATTCTACCTAAAATATAATATTTTTCAAATTGGAAACATTGACACAATAAATGAATATTGACGAAATGATGATAATTCTTTTTTGCATTAATTATTATTAATCTTGTATATTGATCGATCTTAGTTATATCTAATTCCAAAATTTAAAAACAAGGTAAAATACCAATTATTATTACGATCAATTAATAGAAATGCAATGCAGAAACTAGGTAAAATTGTTAAGTGTATCAGTGTACCAAGTTACTCCAAAATGACAAAAAAGTTCTACTAGAAAGAAGTGTCAATTATAAAGAAAGATTAAAAAGTCTCATCAAAAACTTTAACTTTCTCATTCCAAGATATTAAAGTGGGAACATCCAAATACTCCAAAATATTTAATTCCGAATTTCGATGTTCCAATTTTTAATAGTCCAAATTTCATAATACCTTAGAATTATACTGCCTATTTTTAAAATTCATGAATTTTAAAAAGTGCCCAGCGAAAGAAAGTATTTTTATTCGAGAGAAATTCGAATTTCTGATGTTTCGAATTATTGCGGACTTTTTGTAAATCGATAACTCGGTATTTTTATTCATCATCATCATCACATCAACAGCCTTTAATAGTCCACTGCTGGACATAAGCCTCTCCTTGGAAAGGAGGTTTTGGCCTACTATACCACGCTGGCCAGACGGGTTGGTATAGGGTTTGTGTCAAGTTTTCCTTCTCTCTGCAGTGCTGTTGTTCTGCGTAGTTTTTTCCCTTAGTCGTCTCTTACGACACCCACGGGATGAATAGGAGTGGTGACACTCTGTATTCTTAATCCGTCACCACACGGACTTTTATTAAAGTAAATATAAACGTTAGAAATATTAATTTTTGTGAATTATAAATCGGAGGATAATCGAATTATAAATGTTATGAAATGATTATGATATGAAAATCACTATTTTGCAATTCGTATTTTTGACCCTATAAAAGTAAAATTGTTATTTCAAGAATTAGCGCAATCATAAGGTATTTTAGCGCACTAATACCCATAATAGTTTGAACTTTTGAACATTAAGAGCGAGAGCTGGACCGTGTTCAGGAGGTATGTAGAAGTAACGGATACCTAGTAAGTTAAAAACTATGACAATAAGACACAAATATTTTGGAGTAAACAGACATCTAGCCTAAAGCCAGTGTTTGTAAAATGTCATCTCAAAGAATTATAAGAAGCCAAACCTTGCATTTTGCAGAGTTATCCTCTATTTCCCACCATTTCTGTTTCAATTTTTCAAGTTCACCTTTTTCTTGTAGTTTTAAGATAGCATAATCGACTAAACCCTTACGTGGATAATCTAAAAATATATAATCATTTTATTATTTGTAAAATTATTAGGTGGCTTCAATAATTTGATAGATAGCAATCTAATTCATAGTATTTTTTGCCGCTAAAAGACTCGTCTAAGCGTGTTAGAGTCCTGAAAAGAGTAGTACTCATGCTGTTAGAAGCAATTATATGCATGTATTCATGGACAGCTTCTTAAAACCTAAGAGATCATGTGCTTGTTTCTAATTTAATTAAAAGTATTTATTGTGTCTAACCTTATCTCTAAATTTGTCTGTAACAACAATCCATGATTATACAAATTGCGCAAAAGACAGTAGGCGACAAATATTTGTGTAGTTCAGATAGTTTTTATTACTTTGGACTTGTGAACTTTTTATTTGTATTGTACTAGTAAAATCAGGGATGATAAATATAGTACTATTTTAAAAGTAATTTCAATCATAAACGCAATAATAAAAAGTAAGTACTTTACTGTACAGATACTCTGGGTATCTGTGTATGAAAGAATTTAAAAAAAAAAGTGCGTTGATAAATAACAAGTGGAGTTCATTGGATATTTTCAAATTTAGCCAGATGACTGTAATGACTGTAATCTTATAAACACATTGGACACCACTCGCTGCGTATGCATCTAGTTTAGTCACAGCGAAGGTCTTTGATCAGATATGACACAAAGTGCTTCTTTCGAAGCTTCTAAACATTATTACACTTCTAAGTTCAAATGCTAAATATAATCCAGTGGAATGAAAATTGATCCCACTTACTTTTTGGCATACCAATTCCATATTCTTTAGAATCCAGATTGGAGCCTACCATCTTCAGTTGACATTCTCTATTAACATAATATTCAATTGCTGTGGACTCCATAAAAAAGGCATATTTTCCTTTACTTCTCATCACACGATCCCTGCCCTCTTGATTATTCTTTGTGAAAGCTGAAGGTTTCGCTGAATCCATGGTAGTCCAAATTTTACTGTATATAGAATCATTGGAGCTCTAAAAATTAAAAAACTATTGACTGTGACCATAACAAGTGCAACATGGTAGAATATAATAAGCATCCAAAAGTTTCATCGTTCAAATTTAATGCACGGTTGGTGGCGTGGCTTAAACCTAGTGTTTTAAGCGATCGTCACGCCGCTTCCTAGTACTTTGAGTGTTGTAGATTCGATCTCTACATGGGACGACACTTTGTGTGATCCGTAAATTGTTGTTCTGCGTCTAGGTGTTCTTTGTGTCCGTTTCATGTATGTTTGTACAGTCCCCCGCGACACCGGATATATTCCAAATGTGGAAGTAGTCTTTTAAAAAAGAAATCATCATGAACAACCTTTAGTAGTCCATTGTTGGACATAGGCCTCTCCTTAGAAACCAGGTTTTGGAATACTATACTACCCTGCCCGGTCGGGTTGGTATAGGATTTGTTTCAGGTTTTCCTTCTCTTTGAAGTACTGTTGTCCTGGGTAGTGTGCTCCATTAGTCGGCTTTGAAGACAGTCTATTTAATGTTTAAAAATCATTTCAAAGGCAACTGGTTCAAAGGCAAATAGGTATATATGGGTGGTACTGTTTATTACCTAAATGAGATACATGATTGCAATGCAATTGACCTTTGCCCAAGAATAGCACAAGTTAGAGTAATAAAAAATTTAATAATAGTATTAATATTTTTGTGTCGAGCTTTCATAAAGTTCTTTAACTATAAATTCACTGTAAAAGTGGAATTTTAACATTTTCTTTTCTTAATTTAGTTGATTTGTCTTCAAAGGCAAGCAAATAATGAAAATTTTTCTTGGTTTGCATATAGGTGGTAGGTAGGTACTGTGATGCTTTTATTAGTAATACGGCAAAAATTTACCTCGAAAAATTTATACGTAGAACCGTTGTATAAAGTTCCGTAGGAGACTTTGTTCTGTTCAGCGAGATCTTTAACATCTTTGATATCACTGCTACGACGATTGTTACTAATAAAGGTGGACATATTAGCTGTGTAGGAAGCAGTTACAATCATAGCAAAAAACCACCACATTCCAGCAATCCAACGAGAACCAGCCGCCCTAGAATTTTTAAATGTATTTTGTAATTCTTACTTTTACTTTTTGTTTGAGTTTCTTTCTTCTTCTTATTTCTTTAAAAAAGCAAAATCTAATCAAGTAAATGCTTGTTTTTCTTCAACGTTCCAAAAATATTTTTTCCACTGTGCGTTTTTCAATAAACTTTTTGCCTCGCATAATCAACCGGTGGATCAGATTTCTACTACCAACATTCTAGAATAATGTACTAATCATCACAAAAGCCGACAATGTGATTGTGACTCTTGATTTCAGGGGTTCAAGGTTGGTGGTAGTCGCTTTCCATCAGGTGACCCATCTGCTCGTTTTCCCCTATATATTAAGAAAATATTTATTTGGCTCTCATGAGCGCTTTTCTAAACAGATGACTAGATAATCTGTATTTCTAACAAAAACATATGGCACCACTCTCCTGGTGGCGCGATTTTTTCCACATGAGTCTTGCTCTGTTATGAAATACAATACCTCCCACTCAGGCCGAAGACGAAAGCATTATTATAAAGTGCTTTCAATAATAACCCATTATGACATTAATGCATCTTTTACCTTGGTAATATGTCACATCCTTGGGTCATAATAGAACCCATTGTAAGCCACATACAATTGTAAAGACTCCAAATATTTTCCAAGTTTTCTGGACTCCGATTACAAGGATGCGGATTAACCCAATCGTCCTCGCACATTCTGCAAAATAATATTTATATGATCATAATTTGACGTCTAAATCGGTTCCTCCGTACCGGAATTAGTCAACAGGTATAATGCGACACATTTCAAAAATGACTTTCCGAGTCACTTTGATATGAAGTCACGTAATAATCTGTTAATGATATTATTATTGTCAAGTTATGTCTAGCCCATTTAGTTTATTCTTAAACTTCTTATAAAGGTACTAAATAAAACGGAATAAGTCAATAAACATCTTTTTTGTTAATTCATACTAACATTTTAATTGGCAAACAAGTCAAATTGTATATTACATGAAGCCTTTCGTGCGGTATTTATTGTCTTTAGTACATTATATTTTAGTTTTAGCTTTTATGTCTTTTAACTAAGCAATTAAATCAATTTGATTGTCATTAACATGACTATGTAATTTATGGATAAACCATTTGGTGTCGTCCTTACAATTCTAATTAAAATGATGGTATTTTCTGAGTAATCGTATTAGCAGGCACTAACTGCACTACAATAATGTAATAATGTAGTAATATGTTTCATTTGTAAACAGATGGGTGAAGGACCAATCTCTCTTCGGACCTAAGAATGTTGTCTACTGAAATACAATACTTACCGAGCACAAACAAACAAAACAAATGACACGATCACGTATGTAGTGGCTAGATACAACCAAACATCCAAATCCAAAGGTTGTAAAAACGAATACTGATCTGGCTCTTCGGGAATAGGTTCTTTAAACAACATACTGATACCCAGCGACATGAAAGGTATTGAGAAGTCTACGACAGCGTTCCTCTCTGATGTAATCGTAAGATCGCAAATACCCAGTTCGGCTCTCTAAAATAAATAACTTTGGATAAATAATCTAACTTTGATGCGCGAAGTCAGCTAATGATCTGACTTTGATGCACACACACATTCTACAGTCATTAATAGTCTAACAGTTCTTGTATTCTGTTGTAAGACATACAAATTATATAATCAAAATAATCCATAAGTAATGAAATTTACTCAGTATAGATGCCTATAGTCAAACCGCCGTAAGCTTGGCCCTCCCGATGGTTTGCGGGACGCGGAGCGGGTGATGCGCTCGGCTATACACGACACGATGTACTTACTCGATATCTTCAGATTTATTTGTTTGAGATTTAATCTACACACGATGTAATAAAAATCGAATTTATTTCCATGTATTCTAATTTCAGTATATTGTATTTTATGGTTAATTGTAAAATTTTAATACTTGTAAAATAATTTTAATAAAATTACCTCATCTTTATCATGTAAAATATATTTAGATAAAATTTAATCAGGAAGTAAAATAATAAATATTCTTTATTAGAACTTTAAACAGTAGCAGCTCTGTAAGCCCAACTCAGGGAGAAGACAATGCAAGTTATAGAGGTTTAGACTTACGGAGGTATTCGATTTAGGCAGATTTTGTAAGGAAATATTCTATCAACAAAGATTTAGATTCTTTCTTTGACCATTTTCAATTTTTTTCATGAAGTCGTTTTTGAATATTGTTAGCAGAGTACTCACCGCACGCCGTCTCGGGTACTAATAGCCGGGGAACCAGGTATACCCTAGAAAGGAAGTCCCTGGTACCCCGACATACCTCGCGTCATCTACAGACGAGTAGACGACCCCCCCCCCCCCCCCCCCGTGTGGGAACCCCATGTTCCCGGTGCTCCCTGGAAGCGAGCGCGCTTCGCAACGCGCTCGCCGCCAAAAGTTTAGAGTTGGTATAGGTTTTGTTTTATGTTTTTCTTTTCTTTGCAGTGCTGTTGTCCTGCGTAGGTTGCTCTCTTAATGGCACAAGGCATGTATACAGGTGGCGATACTCCATATTCTTAATCCGTAACCGTGTGATAATCGAAAACTTTTACTGTATATTATTCAAGTAACTCAAAATAAAAAACAAAATGAAACGTTTATTTAAAAAATGAAAATTAATCTAAATGTTCTTTAATTTTGTGACGCAGAGTCGGCAGATTATCCATGTTGCAAAATAATACCGTGTGTAGCTGTCTTAAGAAAAATAACAACTACAACCATGCTTTCACGACAGTCACTGCCGGCGGACAGCGACACACTAGCTAATTGGTTGAGCGTACCCACGCCCCCGTTCCGCAAACCATCGGGAGGGCCAAGCTTACGGCGGTTTGACTATAATGTACAAGAGATACAAAGAACTTATAAAACAAATGTAACTCACATGTTCCATTAATTCTCCAATAATACCGTTCCATTTCTTGGTTCCAGTTATCGGACTTCCATATCCATTGCCAGGCACTTTGTATATCTCATATTCTAAAGTCATTTTGTTGTCTTTGTTTATAGTTTTAATAATAGCATCGATCAGATCTATTGCGTACCCTTTATAGACTGTCAAATTAGTAACACTATCAACACCTTTATAATAATAGGGTGCATCTTCTCTTGTCGCTACCTTAAATTAGGACATTTATGTGAAAACGAAGCATGTATAGAAATCATAATATACATAATTGATATTGTTATGCGAAAGTGTATACTTAGGTATAACCTGTAGAGGGTTATTTATAATTGCAAGCGCTAATCTCTAAAAGTGCTATTGGATTCCAATATATGACATTTCACTCTACATAGTAGACAACTATCTTTAAAAAGAACGAAAAAACTAATTTTCTAAATATATGGAAATTAATATCGAAACTCATTGAGAGAATAGTCAGCACTATTGTCATAAACTTTAAGATAAAGACATCATCAACCGATACTAGATAAACAATTCTTTAGCCAATGATTACCATCAATAAAAATAGCAAAAGTAGAGTAGTAGTCTTAGAAGAGGTTTTACTCGAGTACCTCCAACGTATATAAGCCCTACCTATAGGGTTCAGCGTCTAGGGCAGCCGATGAAGGCGGTCGGAAAAACTGCGAATGCCAAACGGGTGCAGGGGGACTGGGTGGCGACACGTTTCCCGCCTTTTGATATCCTGGCGAATATGAACGCGAAGGTCTATGACAAGACTCGCGCTTTCCGAAGGGTGAGAGCGGGGAAGACCAGGACGAGCTCGAAATGTCGGTGCACAGTCGGTACGAGCGGCTTAAATAGCCGGGAAATTCGCGCTATAAAGCCGTATCTTGCTGTACATGTGCGTGCCACATGGCTTATACCACTGCACCGACACAAAGTATCTCGTTGCGACACTTTGCTCTGCCGAAGATCTGAAGGGATTTTTCATCCCGTTAACAAAAAAAAGGGGCAGCCAATTAGGTTAGTAAAAAAATCGATGGTCAAAAATACTGAAAAATACGGACGGTAAGGTGAGTTAATTACATCTGGAAAGTGTGTATTTCAATAATCTGACAATTTGAGCGTGACATAAAGTATTACCCACTTTCATCATTGAAATGGTATTATTTCTTTAAGTTTTGTTATCAGAGTCGCACCAGGGTTCATAACCAACAATATCTGACACGATCAAGTATTTCAATGATTTTTTTATTGTTTTAAAAACCCGTAGGGACTTCCCCTGCCGCTAAAAGTGGAAACATGAGAGGTTATTACTTTTATTAATCCTTAAAATTAGTCAATTATGGTGCTGTTTTGTAACCAAATAAAGATAATTTCCTAAGTTCAAAACTTACTCTTATTTTTGAATTAAATTTAACAGCAGTGGATCGGTCATCGAAATTATTTTCCGTTGTTATAACATTTGTTTTGGAGTCCCAATCACCAGCATATACAAACTCGCTGTCCGTGCTTAATCTTGAATGATGCAATATAACATTTATCCTTGTTCCATCATTTTGATCAAACTCTATGTTACCCGTGAGACCATCGCTTTGTGTCTGAAACATAATTCTAACTTCACATCGGGTTCACCTGAGTGCACTACGATGACGAAACTTACATACTTGGATAAACCAATACATTTTCTTAGACATTCTCTCTTGCTACTCCACATCAGAACTTTAACAATATCCATAGTGAATATTTGAGAGGTTAGTTGTTAGGCTATTTGGACGGTGGTTCTTCAATACTTATAGGCTAATGATTGGGGATTGGCCTAAAATATTACCCACCTGTCGCCTTCACCAGTTCCTAAAATAGTTTGTACGATCCTGTTTACAATGTTGTTAACTATCTTAAAAATAAAAAAGGTGCAAGGTTCTCTGCTCAAAACGTAAAGTACTTGCCACATATTAAAAAGTAGATATAACAGTTTCTTTTTAATAAAATTGATACATGGATAAACATATATACATACTTCCATTATTTTTCTCTGAAGATCGAAACCTATGGGCCATGCAATATCTTCATATGTGCTTTCAGAGTCTGCACTGAGAGTACATAAGGCTGGCGGATCGGGCAGCACGTTTGTACTTTTCACTTTCAAGCTCCGTATTGCTTTCTGTAAGTGCTTTAGTGCGTCGAGAGTCAATGCAGTCTCCAACTAAAGGATTAAAATAAAACATATTTATTTGTAATGATAATAACTCTGAATAAGTCTGATTAGCTTTTATTTATTTAATTCTTCATGCACAAATTACAGTTTTACAATCACAGACTTAATACTACAGGCATTTTCACCCAGTCTACCTTTGGGTGATGGGAAAATAGTTGACTCGGTGCACTAGATCTTAACTTTTTTTATAAAAAGATAGTGATAATTAAAAGGATGGAGAGCAACAGTGGGACAAATATACAAACAAACATACTGAAATACACTTACATATAGGATATATGTTCTTACATACATATATATTTTTATTATTCTTTAATTATTATCGTTATATCATTTGCTTTATTTGTTATCAATTAACAACTAAACTGGTTGTTTATCGAATATTATGTTTTTGAGTATTGAATATAAATACCTGCAATGGTTCATCGAATTCAAAATCGTTGCCTGATACTGTCAGATGTAATGTAGATACGTTTGCCATAAGATCTGGGATGTCTTTGAAGTCAATAGTATATGCGTCTAAATTTGACAGTATAATGCTCTAAAAATAAAAAAATATAATTAAAAAACAAGACGCATAACAAATTTAGTAAATTTACGAAGACTTTCTATTGCAAACTTCCAAACGACCCAAGTTCTTACGGTGAATGCTTACCTCCACGGAGTATTTATTCGTTTGCTTCCTCTATGGTACAAAACATATGCAATACTATGCATGCATCATGAATATAAAATGCTACCTTTCCCAATTTTTATATATGACGTACATATAATCTAATATTAAATAAAAAAACTATTCACAAGTTTAAAAGGAATAAAATCTTAACACACCTGATATTCAGTTGAGTTATCAACATCTACAATCTCTCTCATATATTTGTGAATATTATCGACATGACAATCTAATATGTGGTAACTCATGTGTGCTGTTTTAAAAACATGTTTGAATATTTCACGATTGTCTTCTAGTGGGTTCAGCTTTCGAAACAATATTGGCTCCGACATGCTTGACCACGAATTTATTACTTCTTGAAGTCTTATGAAACCTTTAATAAAACAAAGTAATGAAAATAATTTTCCGTAAGAATACGTAATGTCACCCCTAATCATCCCGTGGTTGTCGTAAGAGCCGACTAAGGAAGCAAATTATGCAGGACAACAGCACTGCAAAGAGAAGGAAAACTTGAAAAAAACCCGCCTGACCAGCGTGATATAGTAGGCCAGAACCTCCTTTTTAAAGAAAGGCCTTTGTCCAGCAGTGGACTATTTAAGGCTGTTGATGATGATGTAATTAACCAAGAAGAGGAATAACATAGTAAAAAGTACTTATAAATAATTAAATTTAGCGCTTATACTAAACACCCACAGTATGGGATAGATCAGAAATCTGTAGTTAAGTATAAGTAGCAGCTTATTTAATTAATATTATAGTAATTATTTCATTATCACTGACTTACTTTAATGACATATTAGGTATATTTGTAGTCGAAGCCGCACCTACATTACTACTTTTTTTACTACTAAGTAATCTTAAAAAAAACTTTTGTCTATTTACGTCGGTACCTAATTGTTTTTTTTATTTTTATTAAGTAGTTAAGTAATTAAACTGTGGTATAATTAAAAGTCGATTTCGTGCTTGGAAAAGACAACCCAACGTAATCTTCGTTAGAAAAAATAAGAGTGTCGCGATAGAACGGTTAACATGTGGGTTAGTTAGAGTACCGCTACTGAGCTAAGCTCAATCAGTCCCAGCGGGTAGCTGTTCGTACGTGGATATGGCACCATTTTGTTAGAAGTGGCGTCAGTCCTCGCACGTTTCCCGCCTTTTGATATCCTGGCGGATATGGACGCGGGGGTCTAGGACGAGCTCAAAATGCGGCGGAATGACCCGACAGTCACTGGTGGGTCAACACGCTATTGGTGACGAAGCTTAGGCAGGTAGGGAGGGAGGGCGCGTCACCTACCGACTGACACAAGTACACGCTGGGCATGACTGCTTCGGATGAGATCTGTCCCCGTCAGCAATAATGCTAGTATGGCTGTAATTATTGGAAGTCAACAGGACCGGACGGACTGCATAACTTTTGGTCAAAGTGGCTCCGTAGCTCACATATACGTTTGGCATCTCATTTTCAATCATGCCTGGAATCAGGTTCACTTTCATCTTTTATGACTACGGGAGTAACCCACCTACTCTATAAGTCTGATAGATCCCAAAAATTATAGGCCAATAAGGTGAGGGCCTATAATGATTGGGTCATACCAGTTCTAACCTACTCTTTTGGCATACTTAGATGGACTCAGACTGAACTAGATTCCCTGGATAGAAGAGTTCGTACATTGCTTACTGCATACCGAATGCATCATCCACGTTCATCGTTCATAAATGCCACGACCCTCCACAATCGTGAAATTTGTAATCTCAGGAATTACTTTCTTTCTGTTAATGTGGATTTGCATAGGGATGTAGTAGCAGTTGATAACGGACTCACTCCGCTTGGTCTAGGTAAAGAGAACTTGCGCAAATTTGCAGTACCTCAACATTACTGATTGTATGGAGATAGGGAAGGGCAAAGAGCTGCATGGACGTTTTTATCGGGCCTTGAATAGGCCTGAGGTAGACCAACTGGCATCTGTATTCTGGCTACGATTCGGTGATCTCTTCGGAGAAACTGAAGGTTTTGTCTTTGTAATTACTGATGAAGTTGTTATGACAAATAATTATCGGAAGTATATCCTGAATGACGGCTCAATAGACATTTGTCGGGTATGTCATTGTCCTGGTGAAAGCCTCAAACATATAATTTCCGGTTGTTCTCGTCTTGCCAACGGCGAGTACTTTCATAGACATAACCAAGTGTCCAGGATAGTCCATCAGCAACTTGCTCCCTTGTGACTGTAGAGTTACCGTACTACAAATATGTGCTCGACCCAGTTCTTGAGAATGGTCAGGCAACGTTGTACTGGGATCGCCCTATTATCACTGACAAGACTATTGTTGCCAATAAACCTAACATAGTGGTAATACACCGATTAGAGCGCCGAGCAATGATTGTTGACATTACCATTCCACATGACGACAATCTCTTGAAAGCTGAAAAAGATAAACAAGTAAAGTATGTAGCCGCTTTTCTTATCAGGCGGACTACTCACCGGCTGACCCAGTGGAGAGATTCACAAGATTACCTTAGGGCGCCTTTTAATAAACAGAAGTGTGTGCGTGTGGGATACCTATGGGACCCCTTAGAGAAAAACAACTTACACCTCAGTCATACATACATGTAAATTAAATAAAAAAAAACAAAATTAAGGTTACAATAAAAAAACAGAGGGTATAAGAAAACCCGCAGCGGAGCGCGTCAGAGCCGAGCTGATGGTGCTCGGTGCCTCCTCGTCTTCACTCCAGGAGGTTACTTCCTCTTCCGCCCGAGTCGGCTATTTATATTAGATATTGATAAAAGTTCAACAATTTGCATTTATAAGTTTATAAGTAAGTACGTAACCCTTGGGTACGGCTGTCCGCTTGCGTCGTGAGCCGCGCAATCACCAGCTAGCCAGAGGGTACCGAGAAACTTGAGTCTGAACCAGAAGGCCACAAACGAGCAAGCACGCCGTCTGAGACTGACCGTCTTGACCCCGAAATCTGTGACCCTACGAATGGATTAGCACTCATATAATTAATCAGGTTCCAGAAACAAATAGGTAAAAAAAAAGAATTAAGACCATACTCACCACTCTAGTGGGTACTTTTGAACAGATAATATATTACGAAAATCAAATCACACAACAATCAGAACACTATTTAAGATTGGAAGACACGAGATAGCAGAGTGTCTCCCGTGGCTGAAAGCCGGACTTATATATCTTCGGTTCCCGAAGCTTCCAGAAATTAACCCCTACTCAACATTTTACTTTGACATTTAAATTACCGACGAGGATTAACCCGACCAAGATCAAAAGTAACTCGCTTCCTACCATAACAGAACACTCTCAATACCTATACAATTTGTCACGACAAATCAATACTGACTTATCCACAAACAAAACGCCATCTAGTGGTCCGACAGTGAACGAAGAAGATCAATACTGTAGTTATAAACTACTTTAGATAAATCAACAACAATGCGACGCGGCCAATAGATGTCGCTTTTAACAAGACCGTACGCATTACAAATATACCAAAAAATAACTGTTACAAGTATTTGGATTTGGCTCACGAGATTGTCGACATGTGGGATGTTGATTCGGCAATCATTGTACCGATAGTCATATCGGCCCATGGATTAATTGCTAGAGCCTCGACCAACATCTTCAGAGGCTCGCGTTAGGCAGGTGGATTAAGGGCCTGATGCAGAAAGCAGTTCTTCTCGATACGGCACGTATTGTGAGGAGGTCTGTCTCTAGAGTCCTAGCCACCGATATCTTGCTGCCCGTGCCCGATACCGATGGGACACTATTTTTATATTTTTAATGTAACGTAAATGTCATGTAATAAAGAGGATAATAATAATAATATTCGGACATCTGACACACAACATATAATATCTTTGTGTCAGAACTATATACTGAAGTTGAAATTTTCACACAAATTTTCAATAAGGTACTTACTGCTATCCTCTTCGTATAAAATGGCAAACTTATCCCACTGCAATTCTTTGATAAGAGCTGCAAAAGCCGTTGAGATTAATTTTGACGATGGGTGAAAGTAAAATGTATATGAATCCTGTTCAAACGTCTCGGCAAGCTCCCAACCCAAGGACAAGTGAGATATCTGAAATGTGTTGAATGTTTCAATATATGTATTATGTACCTGTTCTAATTAAGAGTTACATTAATGACTCTCCTTATATAATATAGTAGTCTGTTTTTCATGTTTCCTAGCGTGAAACAGATGAAAAGCCTTGACTGACACATTTTTTTGTCTCGACCGTTGACCTTAACAAGCTAATTATTTATTTGTTATTAATTAATACAATCATTTAATTGACGAATGTTTTAAATAAAACTATTATATATCATTGACCAGGTACCATTAAACATTTTTGGCATTATAACATAATGATATAAGTAGTACATAACATATAGACATATAGTATAAGTCGACATATTTTAGAATTGTTGTACCGATTTGCATGGATGGCGAAGTGGTTTAAGCGGTCACCACGCCGCTTCCTACTATGCTGAGTGTTGTAGGTTCGTAAATATCAACTTTATAAATATTTAGTTTGCAATCGACAATACCTAAATGGTATTTTTTTTTTTCAACTTAGGGTGGATGCCGATCCTTATATACTTCGAAATATGAAGATAAAGGTAATAATTAAATAAAGTCTTACATTTAATCTATTACTTAACAGGCACGTAGTGTCACAAATTCCCTCAGTAGGTCGAGCATCTATTATTGCCGCGATTCCTTGCCCATCAGAAGTAAAGGAGCACACTGAAAAAAAAACAGTTTATAATTAACGTTATTAGCAGATGAATATACAGATACATTTTACTGCAGACAAAGAAGTATTACAAAACCTAGAAATATGATAATGGCGTTGTTACTATTACTATAGTCCGTGGTATTGAATGCAAAGTCAACAAGTCCTGTATCCTATATCGAATAAATTTATTAGCCTATATCTCACAAAATAAAGGTCTTGTCTACATAGAGCAACACGGTAGGGAGTAGCCATACGCAGGCCTTTCCTTCTACCAAAGTATAAGTCCAGACGGTCATATGTGTAATAAAACTAGTTACGACCGGACCGCTCACTAGACTAAATCTAGTTGCGCTGCCGAGTAGACGACAGTAGCCGCCCAAAAAAAATGTCAAATCAGTCAATTTTTTGCTTTAAAAAGAGATCTACCACATCAAGTTTACAATAAGATGGCGTTACAGTTCATATGTAAGTAATTTTTAATCAAAGTAATACTATTTACTTATTTTTAAACTTAAAAATTTTCGAAAAAACATTTGTATTGTTTTGGATTTGTTAACCTCGCTCGCTTTCGTACAATATTCGGCTCGGTAGAGCTACTGATCCGAGTGTCGTGTTGCTAATCGCTTTCATCGAGCGGAAGTGTTGTTACCGGTTTGTAAATAGTTAGATATCGATAAAATAAATACATCCACGTCTCTTGTGCATATTATCATTTTTGAGAATTTGTTTTCTGATATAAGTAATATAGTCATGTGGATGAGCTTTACTTTAATATTAAAATTGCGTCCAATAAAATATAATACAATACTTACGAGTATTAATACATTATATTAAAATTAATAAGTGTAAACTAGGACCACATTGTTTTTATTTATTTATTGAAGGTTTCCTAAAGATCCGAGTTTAATCGAAGAACTTTTATAAAAAGTTTTACCTTACCTGGATACCTACAAGAAACAGTGTCATTTGCTCAGATCATTACAAGACCTCTGACTTTTAAGTGTTGGCGAACAATAGCAGGATGTCCTGGATGTTACTGTTTTTATTAAGAATTAATAAAAAAAGTTAACTCACTGAAATGTATTCGACATACTCGTACTCATACATAAAAAAATTGTCCAGTTTAAAAACCACTGATAGATAATAATAGTGGTAATATCAATGATGATTGTTGTATTAATAAATAAAGTCGTATCTGTATTAATACCACCCTTGTATCACTTTTTATTTCCCTCACCGACTTCTCGAATTTATCCATATTGCGTATCGACAGTTGTTACAGCCACGGTTGTTTGGTAACATGTCACTGTAGTGCGTCAATACACTGTTATTACACAGAATGTTTATATGTGTGTGTAAAATTTTTAACGTGTTGTTTTAATAATTATGTGTGAGTTCTGTAGTGACAGCCAATTGTTTTTGTATGGGAGTTCGAGAATGTGAGCGTGGTGAAGATCCCCCCCCCCCCCCCCGCCCCCGCTAAAAATGACAGCCTATTTTTTATCGCGAAAAGACGCTATGGCTACTCACCTCTGGTCCACCGGTGGTCTGTGTTGTTCTATGCTTGTCTACTTTTAACTTAAGTGTTAACAATTCGCCTTAGCATTGACTGTGAGTGAATTAATCGAGACAAGCTTCTTTAAAAATCGGAACCGGGGTTCCTACCCTAAGCAAACCAACGTGCAAAAGTTATTTTTTCTCTATGTGATATTTTCTATCATATCATCATAAATTGTAACCAGAAATAATCTCACATTGTTTTTAGATATGCAACTTCTCATAACTCTTAAGCAGATGGTACTACTCGTATTAGAGGACCCAATTAGAGTTTAAACTGAAGCTAAACTAGAAAAAAGACATTTAATCCGTTGCCAACATCTGTAGATTTATATCATGCATGTATTATATACTAGGTACCTTACTTCAAATATTTATTGTAAATTGTAAAAAACTCAATCAATTTATAATAGCAGTACAGGTTACCGCGACAATATTTTACCAGGGCAAGTTCATTCAACAAAACAGTAATCGAGAACTGACTGGCAGATAGCACCATAGAAAAAGTATAATGTAAAAAAAAACAACATCCTTAATTCTAATCAAACAAATTACTTACATTGTAAAGCAGTAGAATAGCTTTCCCCAACATCTGTGAACAAACTTCGACCGTGATATGTCAAACTCTTTTTTCTAAATTCTTTCTCTAATAACTGCACTGAACTGTTTAAATTTAATCTGTTGAATAAGCCCCCTAGAAATGTACACATAATATTACTACTGGATTTCTGGATCGGTTTTTCATTTTGGATTTTACATACCTATGGGATAAACAATAGAATGTGCCGTATCAGTATTTTCTATATATACCGTCATAACAATTACTAGTAAAGTTTTCAAAGTAATCATTGTTAAAATTATTGTTGTCGTATGAATACAATTTTTGTTTAGATAGAATGCGAGTGCGACGCGGAGGCCGCCTCCACACCGTCTGAAGTATTTTTGGAAAACAATTTTAGGCCACGTCGCGTGCACGTCTCATAACATTGTGACTCGTGTGTTGCCGTTATGAGATGTCCCACTGCCGCCGTCTCCATATTATCTGTTCGTTCTCCGCCCCTTTCCTCTCGTTCATCATAGTATTTACTGAATTTCGTTGAAGTAGAATAACAGGAAATATTTTAACTATGACATATCAAATACTTTAGACTTACAAATGCATGTCAACATTAATAAAATGAAATTTATACTTAAAATCTAAAAAAAGACATTTCATTTGGTGTTCACTTTACAAAAACATAGTTAATCTCCTTCCTGAAACAAATACTTTTTCTAATAACTCAGAATGCCTCCTCCATTTTTTACTAACTCTTTGTGAGGTTAATTTTATTTCAGAACAGTTAAGAGACAGGCGTTCATTCGCTAAGCGGTGTGTCCACAAAGAGTTAAATAGTTTAATTTTAATTAAATAGACCATGAATCATTAGAATTTATCAATTATGTGGTATTTTTTTGTGTTTTTGCTTTGCATACATAAGTGTACACCGCAATTTCAATATACCGAGACGCGACCAGAATCTTCATACCAGATAGGTGAGTGATCCTTTATGAAAATTATTTATCCCGCGTAGAATACTAAGGGGATAGATAGATAGACAGTTTTTTTTATTTCTTATAAATTATAAAATAATTATTAAATTAAATTTCTTTATTGTGTTTTCTTTAAAGAGCGTTACACCGGTTAGTTGTACATGTGGTCGAAAATTCTTTCAGAAACTATACATCACACAGTTATTGTTTAAATCATTCTGTCTGTATTTATAGATAGGATGATATTGACTTATTTATATATACGTTGAGTACGTATGTGAAATATGGTTTGCAGTAGCACCAAAATGTAACTCGTTTATAGCATTCGGTGACCTTATCGATCAGTAGCGTACATCGCGAATAGACGACGCAACCCACTAAAGAGAACTATTTATGTGGCAATATTTATAGATATTAGATATTCCTAAATATCTATAAGCAAACTATATAGCATCTCTTCTAATACGTGTATTTCGTCTTAAATTATTTCTATTAGAAAAAATAATTCAAAAGAATATTTCTCCGCTCTATATTTAAAGATATTTAGAAATCATATTTTAATATACTCAATATTTTGCAATAATTTTCATATGTTTTTACAGTGGGTATATTCGACAGACAAGCAATAACTCAACAATCTGCCTTCAGCGAAAGCTTACGCCATGTCAATTACAAGGATGTTCGAATGCAACCAATTATACTAAATCCAATAAAAACAGACAGCTATTCAATATGGAGAGACTGTGAGTACTCCACTCATTGAAATTTATTACCTATTATAAACAGCTTATATCTACAGTGTGACAGCGTCTAAAACTATCACATCTGATAGAATACTCGATGTCAGATTAGATAACGCATACTAGATATTATTATGCCATCTCTGATCATTAGTTCTGCAATTAGAGTTCGAAATCCCCATTTAAACGGCGATCAATATTTTGAAAGACAATGTCAAAATTTTACGATTTTGTAATATGTAAAACTCTCTACATACATACAAACTCTCTCGTATTAATAGAACAACTATTCAATAATCAGAAAATATATTGTAGATTACAAGTTATTTCCTTTTTTCTTAATAAAAAAACCATTACGTTTCAGTTTGTTCAAACATGACTTTACAACCAGTTGCGATATTTGGCCCCCAAAAGCCAATAGTAGATGGCGCTATTCGAGACCAATGTGCAAAGGCAAACATACCACACATCCAAGCTACTTCACAGCCTATAGATTCGGATTTGGAGCTATTAGAGGAAGACGATACTGAAAATAACGAAGAAGAAGGAGAAGAAAATGAAGAAGAAAATACTGAGTCAGCAAAAGATAGTGAAAAGGACGATGAAAAACCTGTATTTAAACCTATTACTATTAACTTCTTTCCCCAATCTGATGAAATTGCACAAGCTTATGGGACACTCCTTAAATATTATAAATGGGAAAATTTTGCGGCACTTTACGAAGATAATCTCGGTAAATCTATTTTTAGGAACTTAATAAAAGTACATTAGTATTGTTGTAAACCTGCTGCAGGCAATAGCTTGATCAACTCTGCGTATGGGTTGTTGATTTTTTTTCATATAGAAGTTTCCACGGGCCATAAATTTTTATCATCAACACACCAGAGCCACAACACAACAGTAAATGATCTGACAGAATCAAACCTGATTAATACCACTGTGTGCAAATTTTTTTCTTACAATGTTTGTTGTCTCTTTAGGTTAAGAGGGTATAAATCATAATATAAATCATAGTCGACGACCGTCGCGGGTTCGATTCCCGCTGAAGTCAAACATTTGTGTGCATGAACATTTAATGTTTGATTTGGTCTGGGTGTTTCTATGTATAATAAGTATGTATTTACAAAAAAAGTTTATATGTATTTATATCAGCTGTCTGGTAGCCATAGTATAAGCTCTGCTTAGTTTGGGACTTGATGGTGTTGTGTGAATGTGGTACAATATTATTATAAATATTATTATTTTAAAAAACTCAATTTTCTTTAAAAAAATAAAAAAAATATGTCAAGCGATATTGGTTCGTTAATATTGATATTGACGTCAACTGCTCAAAAACAAACATCTGCTGGCAATTCACAATATACCTTACAATAACTTGTTATAATTTATTTTTTTACAAATTGACTTATGCACATACTATTACATCTTTAAAAAAACAGACAAAAGATGTTTGTGTGCATTCCATTCCAACGCGAACATCAAGATTTATACGCCAATAGTGGTTGTTGAAGTTTGCTTGTAAACAATCTAAAAGATATAACTTTTATAAACAGTTTCCAACAAAAGTCTTTTATTTTTCTAGTATAACAAAAAGTAAATTTGTCAAGAAATTCTTAAAGGTTTGCAATTACAAGAAACTTCTTTATATTTTTCTTAAATATTATTATTATACTTATATAATTTTAGAGTAAATTATACAGTGTTGTTTTATATTCATGAAGTAAATTGGGTAAAAAGCAGGTTTGTTTTTCAAAAACATTCCAGCCATAATTGCATCTATTTCAAGGAGACTACTGATGGATTTAAAAACTATAACAAATAATTTCACACTTTGTAGTGTTAATAGAATAAATATTTGCAAAAACAACATTGTTGAGACTGGATGTAGTGTACCGTGCACAAGATCAAAAGTCAACCAGCTGACAACGTAACTACACATATAGCCCATTTAGTCAAAACTGCATATTTAGTCAAATTAACTGAGCCTTTTTTTATATTGAATATTTAGCCCATGCGTTTTTAATTTAAAGTGACAAATAAAACAAAAGTCTTGAGTTTAAATATTTATTATGAGAATCATGCATAACTTTTTTATGCTGTGTTTAACAAAAAGATTTAAAAAAATGGTAAATTTAAAGTAATTTTAGTAGCTGAGAAACTTTGCTATATTTAAAAAAAGATCATAATCTTCAAGGACTTCGAGGAAGTTTCAAGAATAAACATTATCCACAGTAACGTACAGATTTTTTAAGTGATTGTCGTTTTAGGATTATTAAAAATACAAAAAATTCTGGCTGAAGTATCAATAAAATCACGAATCACCTTATTAAAGCTGGATCCAGAGGGCGACAACCGTAAGGTAAAGGCAAATATATATATAAAAAAAATATATATATAAATATATATGGTAAAATGTTTTTTCTAATGCTGACTCTTCCGACATCACTAATTTTAATATGTACTATGGATTTATAATCTGAAAATAAACGATATTATTATTATTATAATATTATTTTTTATAAAATTAAAACGACCGGACCGCGTAGTGGTTTGAGTAACGGACTGCTATTGCAAAGGTCGCGGGTTCGATTCCTGCTCAAGTCAAACTTTGTGTGCATTTAATGTTTGATTTGGTCTGGGTGTTTCTATGTATAATAAGTTACTATACATAGAAACACCCCGACCAATATTATTAATAAGTATTTACAAAAAAAAAAAATGTATTTATATCAGTTGTCTAGTAGCCATAGTAAAAGCTTTGCTTAGTTTGGCACTAGATGGCCGATGTGTGAATGTGGTAGAATATTATTATTATATATAACGCATATAAATATATTAAGAGTATATAAAGCTAACATAATAACATATGCTAAAACATCATATTTAATATACTGAGTATGGTTTAAATATAGTCAACTGTTAATACATCCTCACTTTTCAGATATTCAAGCAATTAGCAAAATATCAAGAAAGTCGATTTCTATTGGACTGTCATGTCGATCGTATTCTGAAGTACATGAAGGAAGCCGAAAAATTAAAAATTGTTAACGACTACCAGGTGAGAAGGTTTTTTTATATAAAATAGTATAACTTTGATAGTTAAGATTTACTGGCTATAGTAAAACCGCCGTAAGCTTGGCCCTCCTGATGGTTTGCGGGACGCGGGGCGGGTGATGCGCTCGCTATACATGACACGATGTACTAACTCGATATCTTCAGATTTATTTGTTTGAGATTTAATCTACACACGATGTAAAAAAAATCGAATTTATTTCCATGTATTATAATGTCAGTGTATTGTAAGTTTTTATGATTAATTGTAAAATTTAATACTGTAAAATAATTTTAATAAAATCACCTTTCTTTATCATGTAAATTATATTCAGATACAATTTAAAAATTAAGTGAAATAATAAATATTCTTTATTAGAACTTTGACAGTAGAACCTCTGCAAGACGACTTCAAGTTTTTTAATCTTTTTGTGACGCAGAGTCGGCAGATTATCCATGTTGCAAAATAATACCGTGTGTAGCAGTCTTAAGAAAAATAACACGTACGGCCATACTTTCACGTCAGTCACTGCCGGCGGACAGCGACGCACTAGCTAATTGGTTGAATGCACCCCCGCCCCGCGTCCCCCAAACCAACAGGAGGGCCAAGCTTACGGCGGTTTAACTATAGATTGACTAGCTGACCGCACGAAAGGTGTAGTGGTTTAAGCGGTCACCATGACGCTTCCTACTGAGTTTTGTAAGTTCGATCGTCACATGGGACAACACTTTGTGTGATCCACAAATTGTTGTTCTGAGTTTAGGTGTTCTTTCTATCCGTTTCATGAATGTCTGTAGTTTCCCGCGACATAGAATATTTATATTCCTTGTGCGGCAGTAATTTTTTTTAACAGAAAAAAAATTAGAAAACAACACTTCATCTGAGTCTCTCAAAAAATTTGCCCCGTTTTTCAACATTTTTTATTGATGCTCATATTGGTCGTAGCGTTATATTATATAGTCTTAAGCCTTTCTTGATAAATGGGCAATCCACCACTGCAGGGTTTTTTTAATTCGAACCAGTTGTTCATGAGATTAGTGCGTTCAACCAACAAACAAACCCTTCAGTTTTATAATTTTAGTATATAGGTAGATATGTAGGAGAATCATGTTTCGGCACATATGAGCCGTGTTGAACGGAGTAATAACACGACCTCACAGAAAAACGAAGTTAAGAAGTTATTTCAAATAACTTTTTTTGAACAAGCTAATTTACTTCTATTTCTAACAATCAAACCTCAGTAAAGAGTTAAGAAACAACTTTATTATGCTTTACCACTGCATCCCTTTACATGACGATGACAGTTCATTATTTTTTAAATCGATCTTAATTCTTCACAGCACTACATCATAGTATCTATGGACACATCAACGGTAGCTGAAGAGCTTTTGAAGTTGCCATCTAACACTACGTGGCTTAGCTTGACAGATTACGTCAGTATCAGAGATACCAAACATCCGTTAGCACCAAGAGTTGGAAAGTGGAATGCTCAAGAATTATCATCAGTCGCTGAATTTGAGGTCATAGTTCAAAAACTTTTAAAATCTCCATATTTCTATAAGTAATCAAGAATTCGCAGTTTACAAGCTAGATTTAAAGGCATTAAATCTATATGTAGCTGTACAAGCTAGATTTAATCAATTCGTAACTTTAACAAATTTTTATCTAATAAAAATGTGTTGAAGGCTTTCAGGCAATTTGTTTAGAGAAATTGAACAGTATACTTAATGGAAACTGAATCTTATTGCCTTTAACGCCAATAGCTCAGTTTGCTAGACGGAATGCAAGTTTCATTTGAATTTTATAAATATATCTTGTCATGAGCTTACTCCATGTCATATCATGTATCTTTAAGAACCTCATTGTACATGTAAACCTTCAATAAAAAGCATCAACTATACAAGTTCTTGCTGATATCAATTGATTGTAATATATATATTTATTACATAATACATTATTATCTTTGTGATCATCTGTGTACCCAAGGATAAAAAAATGGAGTTTATTTAAAATATTGTTTTTTTAGAAACCCAAACCATCTTGTAATTACAAACCTCAATTAAGTAACACCCAATATTTTACGAACACAGATGGAAGCCTTGATTATGGATGACATAGCAAAACATATAGTGAAAGCAGTCAAAAGTGTAGAAGACTTGGAGGATCCTCCACAATTTAATTGCAACAGTGAAGATGAACCCTGGGCTTTTGGAGCACTACTGCAAGATAAAATATTACAGGTTAGTATGCAATGGAAAACATCTGTCAGTATTTACAGTACACAGTACATTGGCGGACTTAAATGCAACAGACTGTCTCCATCCCCAATGACTCCTTTTTTCCCTTCCCTATCGTTTAAACGACAACATGGCAACAGGCATGCGGACGGCCATAAAATTAATTATCGTAAACAGTTGTGCAGTCCGAGTATGATGCGAAGTGAGTGCGACAGTGCTAGAGCGTACCTCGTAGGCGACGCGCCACAGCAGCACCCGGCTACGCGAATAAGTGGACAAGGATTTTTGCACTAACTGAGTCGGGTGCAACGCAAGAAGCAAGCCCGAGAGGTTAGGTTGAGGTATGCAAGTTGTAATGTTGGGACAATGACTGGAAAATGGAACAAAATGGAAGGGTACGAAAGCAAGAGAGATAGGAGAGGGGTACAAGTTCTATTATTGTGGAAGTGATGGGAAGAGAAATGGAGTGGGTGTAGTATTGGATAGTGCCCTGAAGTAGTGTGTGACGGATGTAAAGAGAGTAAACGATAGAATGATAATACTAAAATTAGTATGGGAGAGCGTGATTATGAATATTGTTAGCGTGTATGCACCTAAAGCTGGATGCAATTATGAAGTGAAAGAAAAATTTAGGGACGATTTTGATATGGTTATAAAAGGTAACCCTGAAAGTGAAGAATTTTGGATTGGTTGAGATTTTAACGGTTATGTGGCAACAACGAATGAGGATTAGTGCAACGGTTGAAAAATGAACTGTTTGATATACAGCCGTTGTTTTAGATTGCTAGCACTAATTAACGATTAATCTATGGAGTAATCTCCTAACCCGACACTAGAGTCATATTAATCTATGGAGTAATCTCCTAACCCGACACTAGAGTCATATTAATTCGACGTGAGATCACTAACTACAGCTTTTCAGTATGGTTTCAGTAATTACAAAGGGAAAAACTAGCTCCATACATTCATAACATGGTCATCATAATGTTATAAATCTAAGATTGTTCAAAGTTATGCTTGAGTTTTTTATTTATGATATACAATTTCTGTTTTATAACAGACAAAATCTGTTGGTGTGACTGGAAATATCGAGTTCAATGAACGAGGCCAAAGAATCAATTACGAATTACAAGTTAACGAAATATATATGAGGATAAAACGCACAGTTGGCAAATGGATGTCCAGTAATGGGTCAGAAATAATTGACACGAGACCTCCATCAGATGATCTTGCGAATGCGTTGTCTAGTAAACATTTTAAAGTAAGTTTATTTACCTTTCAGATCCATAAATACCGTGTCTATAACATTACAATATAACCATTTAATGTGTAAGTAGACAAAATGAAACTCTATGGATTCACTGGTTTTTTTGACATATTTATTTTTAAGTGATTGAAAATTAACTACTTAAAACAAAACATAGTAGAAATATAATATATGTACCTCAGTTTTGTCCTCGAACAGGATATCTATAAACATGCAAACGTTATACTACATATTTATAAGTAATAACTTGTATCCCAAAGTTTTTACAAACATGCGCTTGGAATACATACACACACGCATACAATACATACCAGTATAATGACCTAATTCCATGATCTAACCTCATACAGAATAGTTATGAGAACGTATACTATTACTGATTTAGATTTAGATATAAAATCACAAAAGTAAAGCAATGGCTGTCTAATTGTATAAAGAAAGTGTCCCATAGTCCAAAACTTGACAACCACTGTTCTATAAAATTTAGAACATATTTGATCCAAAAAACGACTTCTTTGTTGTTAGGACTTAGCTAGAATCATCATCATTATCATTAGCCTTTAATAGTCCATTGCTGGACATAGGCCTCTCCTTAGAAAGGAGGTTTTGGCCTACTATACCACACTGGCATGACGGGTTGGTATAGGGTTTGTGTCAAGTTTTCCTTCTCTTTGCAGTGCTGTTGTCCCTTAGTCGACTCTTACGACACCCACGGGATAAACAGGGGTGGCGACACTCCGTATTCTTAATCCGTCACCACGGACGTTAGCTACAATAAGGAGTGCAAATAGTTATACTCAGTTATATTTTGTTTTAATAATAATTCAATTATACCAGAACATCTTAGGACGCTATATTGTTAGGTAAATAGATTATTACTTTTTTAAATACTATTACTTTTTTGTTATGTGTGAAATCTGGACCTTACGGATGTTACTTCCCTGGGAGTAACAGTGCTTTGTTATGTGAGTGAGTAAGACTAGTTCTTTTATTTATATGCTGCAACATCCAAAGATTGTGGTTATCGTTTATTATGACGCAGTATATAGATGGACCTATCTAGCATAGCGGTAGAATCTTCTGTGACAACAGTATACATAGTACCAGAGATGCTGTCACTTTTTTAAATATATTTCAGGTGGAATCGCGAAATGCTCAACCCTACTTTTCTAAAAAAGAGAAGTGTACAGGTAATGAAGAATGTGATGAAGATGATGATGACGAAAGCGAATGGGAAGGTTTTTCCGTAGATTTGGTAAAGGAGATATTTAAGATATTAAAAGAAGAAAAGTTTAATTATACATACGAATTTGTTTACAAAAAAGATATAGAATATGGTAAATTTGATCCGGTCCTCAATAAATGGAATGGTTTAATTGGAGATCTGTTGGCCAAGGTACGTATTTAAGAAGGCCCTGGCGAGCTTGGAGGGTTGCATAAAAACTTATTTATAACTACTTTTTGCAACCGCCTCATCGTGTGAATGTAGGTTTCACAAGAAAAATTATTTATTTATACTTCCTTTATTGATTTAATGCCATAGGCATTTTTTTCCAGTCAACCTTGGGGTGATTCAGAGATTTGTGTGGGGCAGGTGTCTAAAGAGATAAATTATTTAAATTGTGTTTTAAGGAAATTCAAGTCGTTCCCTCGGAGTTCCCCCAGAAATAGAACCTTCATTATGAATGAAAAGTCTATAATTTTCCCTTTCTAGATCCTGGACAAGATGTGTATCATTTTATGATGATCGGTCCAGTTGTAATGACATGAAAGTGTAACAAGCAAACTCACTTTCGTTCACTCATTTATAACAATAGTGAGGTTTCATTTCAGTCAGCCAAATTAATTCATTGAAACTAATGGGATGCTATCGTATATATCGTTATAATGTTTTAAATTGAGTTGACCTGTTTGGCTTAATTTGATGTTTGGCTTTAGAATTCCGTATTATCAACCTTATACTTCTTGGCGTTATTGAATTAATTTAACAGATAGACAAATAGACAAAGCTTTAAGATGTATCAGATATTTTACATTCGTTACTTCTTTATAAAAATATATAATGTTTATGTACTTCACAGGAAGCAGACTTAGCAGTTTGTGACTTAACTATAACCGAAGACCGTAAAAAGGTTGTAGACTTTTCAGTGCCTTTCATGTCTCTAGGAATAAGTATTTTATACACAAAGGAGCATAAAGTAAAGCCGGGAATGTTTTCTTTTCTAAATCCATACACTGTTGATGTTTGGATGTATACAGCCACAGCCTACTGCCTCGTGTCCATTATACTCTTCGTATGCGCCAGGTATGTTCTTAAAACCCAATACCCTCGTACTAATACCCTGTTTCTTTACTAGAGAGGTTTATTTTATTATATAAGTGAAATTACTTTCAAGACATAAAATATTTATATCAAAAAACATTTTTAGAATATAAATGTCCGTAATCCTTTAATTTTTTCCGCGTAAAGGAAGCCTAAAGAGAAAATAATAATAGGTTTTAAAAAGAATTAATTTGAGAAACTCATTAAGTAGTTTGTTACGTATACGATATGACTTTATATACTTCATTGTCTATATCAGTTTATATGATTAGAGCAAAAGTTCTCATTTAGCAAGGAGTAACAATAAATTACTGTAGGCCAAAATTTACTGTAGGCTACTGTATGGGTCAGGAGATCAAAAGAAAGAAATGACACGTACTTAGGTTCACGAAATAGTATATTGCGAAATAATATATAGTATAAAGAGTTTACAAATATTCGCGATCATAGAACGATAGAAAACATGCCGATCACGGCGACGGTATCGGAACTGTATCGGAACTGTCTTATAATCGACCTTAAAATTACTCGTACTACATAAATATTACAATGTTGGTATGCTGCGTACAGCTACAATGCCATAAGTTTGAAAATCGGGTTTGCTATAATCATAAAAGCAGGCATTTTATTTATAAGCATAAATTCAATGACTTATTAAAATACCATATTTTTTATCTGATGATGAGGATTAAACATTTGCATTTAAATTTTTAATTTCGGTGTGTTTGTACACCATTACGTAATAAATCAGCTATCCTGATTTTAAAACCAATAAAATAAACCTATTTTATTCTTTTACTATTTCAGAGTATCACCCGCAGATTGGGAAAACCCAGAACCCTGTGAAAAAGATCCAGAGGAGTTAGAAAATATATGGACCTTTAAAAATTGCGCCTGGCTTACCATGGGTTCTATCATGACGCAAGGCTGCGATATTTTGCCGAAGTAATTCTAACCTACTGTTTGCGTACCGCTCTTTATAGTGGACTAAATATATTCATATTAGGGTTAAGTACAATATATAAAATATAAAAATAAGTACAGGTACCGCAGACGACTCGGGCGCCGGAGGTCGCAGAACGACCTCCGTCCTCCATAAGCGCAGGCCTGGGGGTGACAGGTGAGGCCATCTGTCACCCCAGCCGAAGCAGGTCGGAGTGGCAGCGAGACGCGCTGCCGAGCGCGCGCGCCCTATTGGGAGTACAAAGGGAACAGGGGGGTTCTCACACAGGAGGGGGTCATCTACAAGCCGTAGATGGCCCGAGGTACGTCAGGGTACCAGGGATTTCCTTTCTAGGGTACACATGGTTCCCCGGTTACTGGTACCCGAGACGGCGTGCGGTTTTTAGTCGATTCGAGTCCGAGTCGGTGGTATCCGAGGGATTTCCGCAGACAAAAGAAAGGCAACTACAATGCTCTTTTTTTTATACGACAACGCTTTTTAAACGCGATTCCATGTTAATGATTATATATCAAGGTGTAAGGGACATCGTGCCGAATACAGAAATAGTGTACCATGATTCTGAGTCGAAAGCATTGAATTTTTTGCCGGAAAATTCATAAATTCCTTTTTTTTTATTTTTCTGGTTAAGAATGATGAAAAATGATATGACAATGAGTAGACAGAACATTTTACCGAAAACCATTTAATAAATACCAAAAAACTGCAATGTAATTAATCAAACAGCCGAAGCGCGCGGTGCCTCTTCTCCGGCCGCCATTTTGTGTTAGTGATGGTCTGAATACACTATTTCAGTATTCGTTACGACGTCCCTTACACAGTGTATACATATTTAAAGATAATTTTTATAGCAGATTAATTGTATGTGGTTTTACTAAAAATTGACTGCCACCTCCAAAAAATAGAAAAAGGGTCATGTCTTCTAGAGTCACCAAATGTAACAAGGGAATATTATTATTTAATTCGTCTTTTTAATCTAAATGGGGTTAGAAATTACATTTCTCTATTACCATTTCCTAAAAATATAAAGATTACAATAAATGTTATTAATAGGCTTAACCTGAAAACAATATGTAAATTACCCACAAATCCCCTTTTAAAAGAATATGAATAACTTCTTGTTTCATTTTTAGAGCATTTGGTACTCGATGGGTTTGCAGCATGTGGTGGTTCTTTGCTGTAATCGTCTGTCAAACATATATCGCTCAACTGTCAGCTTCTATGACGTCGGCTAACGAAGACGAGCCTATAAATAGCGTCGAAGACTTGGCAAAACAAAGCAAGATTTTGTACGGTGCCTATAAACGTGGCTCTACACTTGAATTTTTTAAGGTAAGGTTTAATAAAATGTCTTCTACTGTTTATTTGTTAATAAATATATGTACTCGTACATTTATGTATTGTTTTCGCACACTATAACGACAGGTCACAATAATCTATCTTTATCCTATAGACTCCCGACAGACTGATTCACTGACTGATAGATCAACGCACAGCTAAAACCGCTGTGTCTAGATCCGTGAAATTTTGCACAAACGTTCCTTAGGTGATGTAGGTGTGCACTAAGTAAGGATTTTCATAAATTTCACCCCTAAAGGTGCAAAAGGAGGGCTGGAAATTTATATGAAACTTCGTTATTATGGTAGTAGCCTGTTCACGGTTAATACGCTTTTTTTAAAGTAATAAAGAACGTTGCTACTAATTTTAAACAACTAACTACCTTTAATAAGGGTGCAAGTTTTTTACTATTTTTTTATCTCATCAATTCCAAACGCAGTATAATTATTTACTCTATAAAAAATAAAAAAAACACCTTTTTGTTAACTTTTCAAACCTACGCCTACAAATGATTAAATAGGGTTGTTATAGAATAGGGTTGGGCATTTAGGTAGCTAATTCAGCTACATAGAGCCGTGGCTATGAAAGCCAGAAACTCTTTAGCAACGAACATTGTTCAATCAGTTTGTAAATCAGTCATACAGTTAGTTCGATCTTCTTTTTTACATTTACTATGTTTTTGTTTTATCTTGATTCAATGTGTTCTCTACTATGTCTGATGTCGACCAGCACGAGGACGAAGTCGCGGGCAAGAGCTGGTTCACATCATATAATAAACAACAAACTACAATAATGTTAGAACTGAAATGGTTTTGTGATAATTAATGCGAGATAAATCTTTTAACCATGCTACAAATCTACTAACATAATTTATAAATTATACCACATTAATAGCAATGTCTATAAACTTCTGAAAAACCCTTTCTCTTTGTGACTTACATTGCCTACAAAGACAAACACCCCGATGTGAGCTTGAGACATCATATCAGCGTGCTAGCTATTTATAGCGAGCGCCGCTCTTGGCATTTTTTTGTTGAAGGTTGGAAAATTACTTTGGATAACCGTCTCCTCGGGTACGCAGGAACCAGGAATATGTGGTGTTTTCACTAAAACCCACCCTATCGCCTACTGCAACACTTAATCTGCCACCGGAGGTCCTCACTCTCTGGCATCCTGCGGTCCTATCGACTGCCGGTATCGCCGGCGACGTTCTCCGCGCTCGGGATTGGCCCTCTCTCGATCCCTGTCAGTGGTCTCCTTTTGGAGCATTAAAGATTCACAGAAAGAGACCACTGCGCCTCAGCCTTCCACAGCCGCCAGCATGGCAGTAATAATTGCTGGCGGGGTCAGGTTTCGTTTAAATTGATCAAGCAGGACTGCGCGTGTAGACGCCCACGCGATCCAATCTTCAGCATGTCCCAGTCGGCTGCTCAGTGCTAGCATTGTGCCGTCTCCTCACCTCCAATCTGATTTAGGTACTCACCCAGTGAGTACCTGCATCAGTCGGTAGGTGACGCTACCTCTCTCCCTACCTACCCAAGCTTCGAGGTTAGGCAGAACGGCACCGACAGCGCGTTGGTGCACATTTCGCGGCTGCTCGAGGCACGCCACCTGACCAGTGCCTGTCGGTGAGCGTTCCGCCGCATTTTGAGCTAGTCTTGGTCTTCCCGCTGTCACTCCGGCGAATAGCGTGAGTCTGGTCATACACCCTCATCCTCGCGTCCATACTGCTAGGAAACCGCACCAGGAGGACTGTCACCGCCTCCTGGTGCGGTTTCCTCGTTCAATCCGAATGGCCGCTACCACTGCGCTTGATTGAACTTAGCTCGGCAGCGGTGTAGCCGCTTTTCGTGTCAGGCGGACTACTCACCGGCTTACCCAGCGGAGAAATTCACGAGATTACCTCAGGGCGCCATTGTCGAAAACAGAAGGGTGTGCGTGTGGGTAACCTAAGGGACTCCTCAGAAAAAGACAACTTACACCTCAGTCATACATACATCTATATTTCCAATCAATTCAAGGTTACAATAAAAAAACATAAATTAGTGAGTTTATAAAAAAATCCCGCAGCGGCGCGCGTCAAGGCCGAGCTGATGCTGCTCGGAGCCTCCTCGTCTTCAATCCAGCAGGTCACTTCCACACCCGCCCGAGTCAGCTATTTATATTAGGTGTAATGGAAGGTTCAATATTTATATTAATAACGTTAACAAGAAGTACGTAACCCTTGAGTAAGGCTGTCCGCTTGCTTGGTGAGCCGCGTGACTGCCAGTTTACCAGAGGGTACTGAGAAACTCGATTTCGCACCAGAAGGCCACAAACGAAAGAGCACGCCGTCTGAGATTGATTGTCTTGACCCGAAATCTGGAGCCCTACGAATGGATTAGCACTCATATAATCGTTCAGGTTCCAGAAACAAATGACTAAAAGAAAATTAAGAATAACTCACCACTGGCGTGGGTACTTAGAACAAAGAAACATTACTAAAAAATTACTACAATAAAATTACCAGACAAACAAAATACTATTTCAGATCGGAAGACAAGAGTTAGCAGAGTGTCCCCTGTGGCTGAAAGCCGGACTTATATATGCTCGGTTTGTGAACTTTCTAGAAAGAATCCCTACTTTAACATTTTAAATTGACATTTAAATTATCATCGAGGTTAACACGAACCAAATCAAAAGTAACTCGCTTCCTACCATAACAGGACACTTTTAACACCAATACAATTTGTCAGGATAAATTCTTACTATGACTTACCAATAAAACAACGCCATCTAGTGGTCCGATGGCGGACGAAGAACATCAATACTATAGTTACAATCTACTTTGGATAAATCAATAAATGCGACGCGGGGCAATAGGTGTCGCTGTTTACAACTCCGTACGCAATACAAATATAATAAAAAAATAACTGTTACAGCGGTAGGAGGAAGGTAGGCGCTTGGCCAATATCGGTACTCTGTAGGGGGCTAGGGATCGTATCACCATACAGTCGAGGCGGCGAACTTCCTCTTGCGGATGCTTTAAATTTGGCAACAGCCTTTGTAGAAAGCCCACCACCACGCCGCCTCGAACTTTTTGATGATCTGCTCGAAATGCTCCTCAAAGCTCCAACGGCTGTCCAGGGTGAGGCTGAGGTATTCTAAGGCTGTTCCCCTAGTGTTATAAGCGAGCGGGTGGGGGCCTCTTTGGGCACACTTACAAATCGTCGTGAACGACATGGAGAAGTCCAAGGTTTGGCAGTTAGTTTAGCGTGCGTTAAAACGATTGATAGAATTAATTGAACAATGAAGAACCTAAACAAAGAACTAGATTCAGACAGTGTATACTGAATACATAACCACAACAATTTCTAAAATACTTAAACCTTTTTTGTATATTTACATCTACAATTCAGTTAAAATAGAATAGTCGTGTGAGACTTTGCTGGGAATTAATTATACATGTTGATACATTAATAATAATATTTAAAGTTTAGTTTGGGTAAACATTTTTATACATTGTAGTATTCCAAAGACAAAATGTACAAACGGATGTACGAAACCATGATGGCGAACCCTGCGGTCTTAGTAGACAGTAATGAAGAAGGAGAGAGAAGAGTTCTAAAGAGCAAAAATAAATATGCCTTTTTTATGGAGTCCTGTACTATAGAATACAAACTGAAACGTACATGTGAACTGCAGAAGGTTGGCAGCGAACTCGACAGCAAAGATTATGGGATTGCCATGCCTCCCAGTAAGTTTATTTTTATGTATGTTTTATAGACTTAAAAAGAAATAGTATTAAAAATAAAACTTAGTTTGACAGAAATGTTATGGCACACTAGAAAATTAATTTAATCATTTAATTTTGTTTTTCTGTTTATATTAACTTAAAAAAATAAGAAATTCTACAACTACGACCACCGAGGGTTCCGTACACATTTGTAGGTACATATTTTAATAGTTCAGGAATTAAATCTCATAGTTTTTTTCGAGCTTCGTCCGAAACTCAGTTTCTAAAACCAATAATTACTTACATGCCTGGATTTTAAAAGAGAAATTGTACCTAGTTGATTGATTACGTACTTTAAATTGTTTATAAATGTTTTTTATGATTTATTTACAAATGTATAGTTTCAGATTTTACCCTTTTTTTCCGTGCGGATCAGATTTTACCTGTACTTGTAGTATAAGATGATGTTACTTGCCAAATTTCGGAGTAATAGGTCAACGGGAAGTATCTTATGTATTTTGATTACCTTGAGAGTGTCGTAATATGCGTTCTTTGCGGCATTAACGGCCGTATCTCTTTTTTAAGTTTACTTAGGAGTTTTATTATTACACAGCTTAAAGGGACCGTAGACCTGAGTATATGGTTTTAATTTCAACTCGATACCTCCCTACGCGTTCCCTAGATAAAGAGTCTCGACAGACACACAGACGGACGGTCGAACGGATTGACAACAAAGTGATCCTATAAGGGTTCTGTTTTTTCCTTTTGAGGTACGAAACCCTAAAAACATGCAAAGTTTTATTTTAATTACACACTAATATGATATTGCACAAATATACTATGATGGTTTATAAGTATAGGGTATATAAGCACCTTTTTTAAATGAAAGAGGTATTAAACCGATCTTAAGGCAAGTTTGCTCAATTCTACTTAGATTTTGAACAACAAGTGAAACTATTCATAAATGTTTTCAGATTCTCCATACAGGACTCACATAAACCGAGCAATTTTAAAATTGAAAGAGAAAACAAGATTAGATGAAATAAAAGACAAGTGGTGGAACAAGAAATATGGAGCACACGAATGCGATGTAAGAAAACTAAAAGATTATGACTTTTGTAGACCCACATAATAATTTAATTGTACTTAATTTGGCAGAGGTATTATGTTAAAATATGAAATCCAAAAAGTAAAAGAGACTAAGTGTACAACATGTATACGATGTAAGAAAACTAAAAAATTATAGAAATTATATTTAATTTGGAAGAGGTATTATTTTGAAATAAAAATCCTATAAATTAAAGGACACTTAGTGTATAACGCCCAGAAAACAAGATTTCTTTTTTAGGGCATTGTAATTACTCAAAATGTTTTAGACAGAAAGACCAAATATTTTAGAACAGATAATCATTATCATATAACAATAAAGGAATGAACAGTGAATAATAATTTTTTCACCTTATGAATAGCGGCAGACGGTAGCAGTAGGTTTATTAATGTTCATCTGGGCAATCGTTACTACAAGAACTATTGTAGTGAATAAATTTTTCTCCTTACGGTAAGGAGAAAAATTATGAGAATGAGAACGAGAATGAGACGGTAGCCAAAAAGCCAAGCTTTTTTGACTATTCATGTTTTGAAAACATACTGGCCCCTCTAGGACCATCTATTTGAACTATTCTATACATGATGCCGCATAATGAAAGTGCCAAGGATGATTATGGTGTCTAACTAACATCCATCATTTTAACAATAATGATTTTAGGATGAAGTAGATGCAAATGATACAGAAGGCGATCTTGAAATGGCAAATTTAGTTGGAGCATTCGTAGTATTAATCGCTGGCCTGGTATTCGCCCTCATAATAACTGCAGCTGAATTCATGAACGAGGTTCGGAACATCGTCGTCCGGGAAGAGGTTTGTTAGATTTGCCTCACCGAATATATATATATATATATATATATATATATATATATACATACAAACACAATAGTAAATGGCAACCAGTATATATCCAACTCTCAATTAAGCTTTCCCCAATCAATTGGTTACAAATTTAGCAGAAACATACTGTAGTTAACTTGCCTGCCGATATAACGTAACATTTTTGTTTATTTACAGGTGACACATAAAGAAGTATTTATCAAAGAATTAAAAGCATCGTTGAACTTTTTCAAACTACAGAAACCGGTGCTTCGTAACCCAAGCCGAGCTGCGTCTGTCGCATCGTTTGATAGCGACGATCACCGTCATCAGAAACGAACGATCAATGCTATCGATAACTTTTTAGATAGTGAAAAAATTGTTCTTTGATAATATTAATGAGGTATAATTATTATGATAAATCACCGATTATCATCAAATAAAGGAATCATATTATATACTAATGTGTGATAAATAAACGTAGGTGTATAATGTAATATAAATAATATTACTATACTAATATAATTGTGAACCTTTATAAATAAATACTAACATCCTTCAAAGTATAGAAAATAAATGTATAATATGTATGTAAAGAGTATCGTTTTATAAAACATCTCGATATGTTTGTGCAATAGTTTAGTAATTTCAAAAGATTTCGTAAATTTGAATAAAGTGTCTTTCTTTTTTCTACTAAATAATTATTTTTATATGAGACAGCTTGCCTTTGGAAATGGGGTATAATAACATCATAATGCGATGTGTTATAGCGAGACCTTAGATTATTATAAAATAAATTTAAAAAATGAACTGCATTGACAACTGATTTTATTAATATTGAATTAGTTTTTTTTTTCTTTGATTACATCAAAAATTTATCTGCCACTTATTCTCTAAAAAATTTTAATATATTTTCTTTCATTTTGTTCCGAGCACAAACACGATTCACAACCACAATCACGACTACCAGACGCTAGCGCCGGCGTCCAGAGAACCCCCTCGCACGCGGCCGACGGCGTCCGCCACCGACGGAGGACACGCGTCGGTAGTCGGTCGCACGCGACCGAAGATCAGAGAACCCCGCGCCTAAGGGCGCGATGAACATACAATAAACGTCGAAGTATTTATACGACAGGCGCTCAGCGCAGTTTTGTCTGTCTATCTATATGTCTATATAACCAAATCTAATCAATAGCAACAGGACGTCTCGGGCATCTGAGTAGACTCACCTCATTTTAGATTTGGAACATTGGCTTTTCGCACAGGAAGCCAATGTTCCAAATCTAAATTGATGAAGAGGCGAAACAAAAGCGAATATCTGGTCTGGAACGTAATTTGGACATTGACAGATAACTAATAATAAATATAATAATTGTAATTGACAACTTAAAGAATAATTAAGTGAATTTTAGTGTGGTAGAAAAGTTATAAATTAACTTTAATATAGTAATAATAGCGAAGAGGATATGTTAGAACTGCATCTTACACGAAATCTACCCAGACAATGTAACGCTTTATTAAAACAATGCCCCACACACAGCCCCTTATCTTTTAGAACTGGCAGCTGCTTTCGTTTTACCTACTCCAAAATAAAATACAACTTAAGACAACTTAACCGTAGGTAAAACGAAACGTTGAATGGCGAGAACTCCATAAAATATGTGGTAGGGATTGACATAAATATTGCAAAATTAATTGATTTTAAATTGTTTTTTTTAAACTACGCGTCCCCTCGTGTTGAAACTTTGCGTGTGTGCTTATTTATAATGCTATTGCTATTAATAATGTAACCTTTTTGTAAAAAAAATATCAACCCCCACTCGACGGAAGTCAAAGTCGAACCCCGTCAGGACCCAAAACGTCCAGCATTTCGTGATCCCGTATTCTTCGCGTGCTGCCATGAAGGCCGAGTGTCGCGACCGGGTCAGGAACTCCGAGAGGGTCACACCAATACCTTTCAGTTCGCTCTTAGCTGCCCAGACCCTGTCCACACCGCTACTGTCCTAAATTTTACTAGCATGGGTCTTGGTTTCTCATTTGAAGATTGTCGACCCATCCTGTGAAAGCGGCTTATGTCTTCAGAGGTAATGGAGTCAAGATTTAGCTTGTTTTTTGCAACCTCCGCTACCACCTGAGTTGTGTTCTCATCTTTCTTCTCTTCGACACCATGAACAAGGAGTATTTTGAGGCGTCTTCGCGTCTCATATCTACTTCATTCACAATCACCTCTCTTCAGGTCTTCAAGGTCTCAAGGACGAGAGTTTTTAATGCAGTAAAGCCCTCTGCGAGACCAGCCACACTAGCAGCATTGGAGGTCTTCTTCTGGAGATCTGCTTCAAAATTCGCCATCCTCTTTTCAAAGCAGTCTTGTAGATTTGAGAGATTAACCCCTGTAGATTCTTCATAGTGACACTGTGATTATTATGATTTTTTGTGCTTTGGATATTAGTTATAATTAACGGATATAACACTGACCTAACAGGTATTTAATGTTCAGAATTTAGTATATTCATTAAATGTATGCAAAATATAGTTGTTTTGTGTTGTGTTGTTGACTATGACTATGACTATGTTGACCTTTTAACTACCTACACACAATGTTATGTTCGAACTAAGGCAATCTACCCTCATCGTTCACCGACCTCCGTCGTCTGAGCCTGGCGGACCAAGAGAGTTCTAAACCTCTCCGAGTCCCACTCCGCCCTTTCCAATTCTCGTAGTAAAATTTCAGCCCCTTTTTAGTTCCTATCAACTTTAGATCTCACAACTGTCATAAAAGGTATTTTCTTAGTAATTTATTAAACATCCAACGTTGACTGTAATGTTATTAAATCGTATTGTAACCGAAAATTTAATCGGTAATCTGCTAGTCTTAGTAAGACCAATATTTTACTACAAAATAACCTAAAATGACAGTTGTGAGATCGAAAGCTGATTGGAACTGTATGGAGACCGAACTTTTATTACGAGAATTGGCCTTCTGATGCTATTCAGTATCGTTCCAAATTCCTTCCTTGCAACTACACTTCGCGTTGTAATAAATTATATTTGATATCGTACCAAATATTATTCTAGATATTTCTAATCTAAGATTAAAAACAAAACAACCTAACATAACATCTGCTAAAACACCTGCCTTTAATCAGCTAAATCGAAGTGTTTTACTCGATAAATTTACCTACTGGTGCTTTGATCAGTTCCTACCATCGACTAACGAACGAAACTAACAGAATTTGTACTGGTTATAAATTATAAATCAGCATAATTCTGAAATATTTAAAAAAAAATCAAAAAAAATACATCGACGTAAAGATTAATTCTTTAGTTATCGGATTTCAATGTATTTGCTACGTCAGTAGATTAGATTTCAATTTTCTCACTGATCTCACTTTAGTATATTCCGAAGAAAGTTGAGTTCTTTCTTTGTGCACTTTCTTAAGATTATGGACAAAGGTTTTGTATTTTAATCACTTTGTGTAGAATGGAAATTGTTTCGATGAACTATGATGGCTAACGATGTTTATCAGATGCGCGCACATGGTCTATTCGAAGAGTTTTAAAGTCAAAGTAGTTTAATTGGATTACACCAATCTGTTCTTAAATGAAGATGAAATAGATTGCAATTGTCGTGGATGATTATAAAAAGTTCCTTCTGATATGGATATCCCAGTTATTTTGATCTAGTAAAAGGAGAACTAATGTATATGGCTGCGGCGCTGCTGAATAAGGCGCCGTTCATGCGCGCACTTCTTATCCTCAGTCGTATAACAGAAGACACGGATACATTTTGTTGCACTCTCTGTGGCTTTCTTTGAAATAAGTTCTGGACCAACTGTGACAAGTAATAATAATAATATTTCGGATTTCTGACACACAACGCCATCTAGTTTTTAACTAAGCAGAGCTTGTATTATAAAAACTTTGACTGAAATGACTGAAAAAAAAATTTAGTGATAGAATACCCATATTTTTTTTGTAAATACATATATATTATACATGGAAAACACCCAAACTCCGAAGCAAACATTTACAGATTACACAAACATTTGGTCCGACCTGGGAATCGAACACGAGACCTCAATACAGCAATTGCATACGCTACCACTGCGCCACGAGACAGTAAACAAAGACATGGTTTTTGAAGTAGCAATAACTGCATATTTTCAAAAATGATCAGTTTGCAGCTTTGTTATTGTAATTTGTCTACATTTTCGCATTATGTGAAAAACCTGCTGAGGAATTAAACTCTCTTCCATAGGATAACGGTCTTCAGAACCGGGACTCAACGCTACCTCTTCAAGTTCTCGGTCTAGGAGATTGTTCCCAAAGCCACACAGATGCTTTAATCCTGCGTCAGAAAATGCTAAGTGCACCTGAGATACGAGGAGGAGTTGTAGGGTATTGTTTCATCGCCAGTATGTTCCTTTAATTATATTTTTTACTTTGTTATCCATAGTGTTTATGGGCAATTTATACTACATACTAAATGAGTTTTAATTATATTACAGTTTGACGTAATTTATGCATTCTTATCAAAATAAAAGTAAAGTAAGCCAACACATACATAACTACATAGGACAACCAAACCGGGTTGCTCTAAAAATCTATCTAAGAATGACGAACTAGCTGGGCCTCAATTCTGCTATTTTATGTTCACGCCAAGCCCTTGTCATATCACTGACACGCTATTGAGATGGCATCGAGTGGCCATTGGCATCGGTATAAATATCGGTAGTCTACACTAACTCAGTGTCTTTACAGTGGCGATGGAATGGCAGTGGTTCATCAGTGGTGATATCAAAAAGATTGCCATATTTGGAAAAATAAATAAATCATTTCCTTATAATTTGAAAATATATTACGTTTTTGAGAAAAAACGTAAAAAGATTGCCATATTTGGAAAAATAAATAAATCATTTCCTTATAATTTGAAAATATATTTTATAATAACTATATTACGTTTTTAAAAAAAATGTAATATATTTTCAAATCAATAAATATGACAGTGGCTTGGCGTGAATATAAAATATTATACAGACTTGAGGCCCTGGACAGTCGCAGGCCATACTTTACACTAGTATGTCCCAAATCAACATTTTGGGATAAATGATTTATTTATGAAATTCCAGTTTACATTTGTCAATCTTACTAGTAAGATGGAGGTAAATCTAATAAATTAAACTGGAAGTAAAAATCTATAACTGGATCTAGATTTTAAGTGCCCATGGTGGTATGAGTAAATGCACTTAAATTATAATAACCAATTTATTAATATGAACAGTGCAGTTTGATTCATTGAATAGTGAAATTATTTCCAAAGCGTGGAAACAAAGTATTCCGGGGGAATTGTTTATACAGTAAACGTCAGTAAACGTCGCCTATCCACTTTATACGCTCTGATTGTACTTAAATTCGACTACTAATATAATTATTCTGCCTGTGGTAACCCTACATAAGACACAATAAAATAAAGTTATAAAAAGATTTTGTTCCTTTTAATTACTCAAAATAAAATACAGAATATATTTTTTTAATCCCTTTTGTGAGTTGATCAAAAACATCCGGCACACTGCACGTGCACGCCAGAATGTAGCTTGGAGTGTAATCGACGCACGCGACTACCGATTCAAAATCAGGGAACTGTCGGAAGCCCGCACTACTATTACTGACTACTACTTCAGAGGACACTTCAAATCTTTCGACAACTATCATTACGCACGAGATCCATTGATGTGTTGGTTAGACTCACTGACTTTAGTAGCATAGAAAAACGATCGAGCTAGCTTTCACAAACGTAATAGTTAATGGAGTCAGAGTGTATGATATGTATCATACGCAAGCAATCAATTGTAGCAAAAGAACGCCAAATCTGCGCGAGGTTCAGTGGCGCGAGAGCCACATTGTGAGATGGCCGTGTCTTGGTACGCTGTGCTCGCGCTTGCCGCCACTGCACTTGGAGCATCGATACGTGAGTATTATATTTTCATAACATTTAATGCTTTCTTAGGTGTTTTTAATTTTAGAAAGAATAATAACTCCTTATATTATTCACATTAACGATACAAGATTAATAATAATCGACATGAATCGTGAGTGTAAAATAGGTTTTAAAGTCTATTTACTGTGGTACAATAGATACACTTAAAAGTACCTACGTTTTAACTGGTTTAATACAATAAAAACTCATTTAATTAAAACAATTTAAATATCCTTTATGTTTTATCAATGTATCAAAAACCCTTTCCGAAATTAAAAAGGCTACAATGCATTTCCTAATTAATTTAAATAAATTGATAACCTAAATGGAATTACTCGAAATATTATTACTCGAAAAAAAAATCATTTTTTTTTTCAGCACACTTTTAATAAAGTCTTAAGTTTCTCCGTTCCTCAAAAGGATAAGAAGAACCATTATAAAATTGCATAGTTATCCGTTCATCAATTAAGTTGAAATAGACAACATATACTTATTTATTTCTGAGGTCCTTTAAAGCTATAACAATCTCAAGTTTCTCAGTCACCGCACTCACTTTTAACACTTAGCGTGAACTTGGCATGACCTTAATTAATTTATTTAGCCACAAAAATACGATTACGATAACGATTGCATAGGTATATTTTGCAGTTAGAAAAATGATTTTGACATATATCCATGTATGATTGAGTATTTTTAGAATGGCACACTAAAGTTTGTATTTCAAACAAAGAACGAAATTGATTTCCGTGACAGTGCGATAAATAGTAACGGTATAGTCACCAGACTTAGTTCCTGTAAAAACGCATTTCAACTTACCGATTTCGAGGAAACTAGTAGTTCATTCGTATAACACGACATTAAGTTAACTCCTTCTGTACTACAGATTAAGGTTATGAAACAATAAAATACGTTTCTATCACGCAAATTTAAGGACAATCATACTCGACTATGATTCATAAAAAATATTCAAATCTGCAATAGTTGTATATAATTGTAATTTATTCAAAATCAGACGTAATTACAAAAACATTTTCCCTGTTTAAAAAACAAGATTTGAACGAATAATGACTATCTGGCTTAGGTAATTAGAACACACATTACACGTTTAGAGGTTTAAGATCAGAATGAATTCAGGTTCTGAAAATGCTTTATTAACAGTGAAAGTACCAGATCATTTGTATATCAAGGAGTTAGAAAATCTGATATCTAAGCTTGAAGCTGTGTGGTTTGCTTCAATAAGGCTTCTTATAATGATCTAGCAAGGGATTTACAGTACCACCGGTTTATTCATTTTACTGTTTAATAATATCAGAGTTACTGGCGAATCTTGCAACCTGAAATATTAATTATTTTATATTCAGGTTCTTGAAAGACGACTATGAGCTTCAAAGTGAGTCCCTCGTTAATTGGTGTCTTAAAGTTATTGTTTCATTCGAAAGAGAACTGAAGATCATTATCATGTTTATAAGTCACACTAGTTGACTGAAAGAATGAGTCATAATACATTGATTCAATTGCTACAGAACATTATGTTACGGGCCATCATTTACCACCAAACAGATAGCGGTCGTAGTAACAATGTGATAGAATTGTCAGTCTTTTTGTATTTTATTTCATTGGTATCTTACTTAAATTATAATAAATGCGTATGTAGGTTTGTTTTCTTGCAGATTTATAATATTAACCGTTCAGCCGAAGATCATAATTTTTCGCATGCACTTTGCCTGGCGTATAGGACAAGACAAATGCCACCTTTATGCCAAAAAAATCTTGTTCTTGACAGATAGTAAAAAAACATCGATCGCAGTAAAGCATGCAAATAAAGACGCGGGCAGAATCTAGTAACATCATTTTATAAATAGAACCCGAACCAGTGAACTTTCACCTTCATGACAATACCTTGCCGATCAGGATTTTTTTTAATTTTAATGATGTTGCACAAATAGTTGCAGTTTTGTCTATAAATAACAAGGTCGCTTTACAAGGAAGTATAATACATCGCCAACTGCCAACGGCCTGCAGGGCGTAATCACTTTTTCTTCCTCAAATGCAATTGCAGTAATTGGTGTTTCGTGCCATGTAATTTGAGAGATTACAAAAACACGCATGTTTTCTAAGCGAATCGAGATAATTCAGTCTTTCTTTTACTGTATCTCTCAACTCAGTAATAACAATATATAAAAATAACAGAGAAGAATGACACAGATGAATTGACACGACAGGTATAAATGATGAAAAAGATATAAAATTACCATAACCATCTGTGAGGATATTACGGTTGCCTTTTAAGAGATAATTAAATTTTTCATACTAGCTTTATACAATTTTTTCGTTAAAAAAAGTCTAATTCGTCTTTGTACAGTATTAACTCGGGTGTCATTTTTGTATTATTTTATTTTTGTAACTAATAGAAGCGATAAAAATACGGCACTTGCAAATTGAAATCCCTAAGTCTATGAAAAGCCGATTTTCAGCCCATCGTGCGTAAAGAGAATAGACGTTATGTTAAAGAACGAGTGATCTCAAGGCGTTGTAATAGGTCTCTTAGTAAGTTGGGAAAATGGTTGAAAATGACAGTTAGATATAATCTATATATTACGACGTCATCAACTAATCAGATAAAAACAGGTAGGTGATTAAATTTATACTAAATACAACGACACAAATTCATATTAGGACGAGACAGACCACATTTGTCAATTTACATGTTTGTTAATACCTAGCTAAAATAATCTGCATATATTTTTTTATACAGCGAATAAATTATTGAATACTGATAAAGAAAGATAGTTAGTAGAATACCTTGTGTTCAAAATAACCTCAGAATGGATCAAAACCACTAGTATGGAAACGGCAACGGTACGATGACTTAATTTTCATGAAAATCATCGCATATTATCATATATACGCACAAATATGTAGTAACGTTACTCTAGTAACAGTTTCAGTCATGAAGTCTGTTAAATAAGGAAACGACGACAGCAGCGTTGATTCTTTACGAGTGAATGTACAAGCTTGGTGCTAAGGGATTGAACTGATTGATGGGTTGGTGTACTCATGAATTGAAGTGAGATATAAAGAGAGCTCTAACGTCGTTGAAGTTTCTTAGAATATTATAAAAGGGTTCCAAAAGTGGTACAATTACTTAGATCTGTGTACTACTCACATTCAATTAGGTTTATTTTAAAAGGACTATTATATATATATATATATATATATCCTCGTATTATAAGTAATCACAATCTTTTATAAGATTGAATAAGTTGAATTTTTGGATCTGCGTGATCGAATCAGGAATGAAAAGATCCGCAGACGAACCAAGCTCAAACTTAAGTGGCAGTGGTCGTGGAAATTTGCTCGCAGACAAGGTGGCCGATGTGGCCAAAACGTTCTGGAGTGGCGAACACGTACCGGAGAGCGTAGGTAGGTCCCCTACAAGGTGGTCCGACAACCTGGTGAAGGTCGCAGGAAGCCGTTGGATGCGGGCAGCACAAGACCGGTTGTTGTGGAGAGCCTTGGGGGAGGCCTTTATCCTGCAGTGGACGTCTTTCGACTGAGATCATGATGATGAAGTTTGAATAAACTTAATAGGCATAGAATGAAGGAAAAATTTTCTTTTACGGAGGAGATTTAGAAATCTTAGCATAACTCAGATACGTATTAAACTTTTACCAAACACATCCTCTTTTTAGGGTTCTGTAAAAGGAAAAAACGGAACCCTTATAGGATCACTTTGTGGTCCATCTGTCTGTATGTATGTCCATCTGTCTGTCAAGACCCTTGATCTCGCGAACGCGTAGAGGTATCGAGTTTAAATTAAAACCATATAGTCATGTCTACAGTCGCTTGAAGCTGTGAAAAAATGAAACTTCCAAGTTAACGTTAAAAAAAGATACGGTCGTTTATACCGCAAAAACGCATAATTCGACACTCTCAAGGGAATTTACTTCTCGTTGACCTAGAACTATGAAATTTGGCAAGTAACATGGTCGTATACTAGAAGTACATGGAAAAATCTGAAACGTATACATTTTTAATTAAAAAAAAATAGTATTTATTTAAAATACCTAATCAATCACCGAGGTACAATTTCACTTATAAAACACAAAAATAAAAGTAATTATAGGTTTTGGAAACTGAATTTTGAGAAAAGCTGTCCAAAAACTATGATACTCGATTCCTGAACTATTTATAATAATATATGTACCTACAAATTTGTACGAAACCCTAGGTGGGCGAGTCCGACTCGTACTTGTCCGGATTTTTTTCTAAGAAGAAGTAAACGGAGACCTGATAGTGAGTGACTACACACAATATACTAAAGTGACACCTGCAACTCTCCAAGTGCTTGCCGACGTTTAAGTCCCCCTCGGAGAATCTGGGGGAAGTTTGGGCTTCGGCAACCTCACTTACTCCGTGAAAAGCAATGAAAGAATTGGTTAACACCGGTTTTCTCACCAATGCCAACTCGATGCAGTGTATATGTACAATACATCATCATCATGATCAACAACAAGCTTTACTAGTGCACTGCTGGACACAGGCCTCTTCTTAGAAACGTGGTTTTGGCCTACTATACTACGCTGGCCAGACGGGTTGGTATAGGGCTTATGTCAAGTTTTCCTTCTTTTTGCAGTACTGTTGTCCAGTTTGCTCCCTTAGTCGGCTTTTACGACACTCACAGGATGAATAGAGGTGGTGACACTCCGTATTCTTAATTTGTCACCACACGGACACATGTATGTATATCATTGTCATCAAAAAAGTGATAAACATAATATATTATTGAATTGAAAAACAAAAGCAACTGATTAAATCCCTTTCATCAAATCGCCATCTAAGATTAATAAAAGCCACCTAAAGACATTGTTTTAATTTATTATGTTTTAGATATCTAGAACGACATGAATCAGTACTTGGGTTTTTTTTATCGTGTAATTAATCAATCAAGCGCATCGCTGTTGACAATCTTATTAGGTATATTATCTAAAAAGATTGTTAACAAACACAAAAGAAAATATATCTTGAATTCGGTAGTATTCTTTAAAGTTCAAGTTTTTACAGTTTAAAATTCTAAAAAGTAGAATTCCGCTGCTAAACATAAACTGCTTAGAGTTTTAAGAAAACATTGTTTTAAAAACATTTCAGAACAGAGAAATCCAACAATAAATAGGCACTTACTTATCTAATACTAATGAAATGCCTTTATTTTCGTATTTTTCCAAAAATGTCGCATGGAAGACAAAAATCGTTGATACTGACAAGACTTATAATATGATAATTAGGTGGATTCTCACCTACTTACCTTACCCAAGTTGAAATTAAAAGTATTTTATTTTAAAAACCATCCATTGAGTATTGGAGAGATTAAAATTATAGAGAATAAAATTAAAATTATAACTTTTTCCAATTGATTTATAATGCTGAATTCAGTCAACACTGGAAGAGAATGCCCTGCGTATTAAGTCCGCCGATTAACAAAAGTGCATTAAGTTTAAAATAAAATAAATATGTGCACCTGCCCCAGAAATAAATCGAAAAAATATAATTTATTTACTCTGACAAAATCATTTTTCAAACTTAATTGCAACAGTATGCTGTGTCACAAACAAAGCCGTAAGAGTATGCAATTTACAGTTATTTTCTAATACTATTAATATAATACTACTTTTCTAGACACACCAATGAATGTTCAGTATTATAAATCAACTTTTAAAATTTATGATTTTAATCTCTCCAAAATTGAATTGATGGTCTTTATTTAAAAAATGATAGCGAAATTATCAATAAAACTAATATTTGTACGTAGGTGTACGTGGACACACGCTGTAGGAAAGCAACGTTAAGTAACACAGTATTAATGACATAATTTTATTGCACAGTGGACACATGTGTAACAAAGCATATTTTATTTTGTGTTTAGTAAATCGACCGCGTGCGCTACATTTACGGATGCGACTGCATTATGTAACTTATGTCTTTACTTTGTAGTTGAAAATACGGGCTTATGCAATCAAACCTGCATAGTCAATGGCAAACGCTAGATAAAAAACTTAAATGGGGAATGGTTTTTAAAATGTAACATAACTTGTAACGCAGAGAAATCTTGTTACCCAAACTATTGAATGACTTGAAAATTATTGATTTGAAAAGAGAAAAGTGTTTAATATCATTACCACATATTCTAAATGGCTGTACCTGCATATTCCTTAGGTGTTTGCATGTTTAATGCAATAACCTAATCCAATTAAAAATTTGTTTTGTTTCTTTGTCTAAACTATACTTGTGTAGTTTGACCAATATTTTCTTTGGTATTGATCATTTTTATATGTATGTATGATTTGAAACTTTTTTCATTTTAAAGGAATATGCAGGTACAGCCATTTAGAATATGTGGTAATGATATTAAACACTTTTCTCTTTTCAAATCAATAATTTTCAAGTCATTCAATAGTTTGGGTAACAAGATTTCTCTGCGTTACAAGTTATGTTACATTTTAAAAACCGTTCCCCATTTAAATTTTTCCTAACACTTCGTTGCCCTCAAAACCTTCAGAAAAAGTTTAATAATAATATATAGATACATCATATGGATGATGAAATAGACATGTTTTTAGTCGTGTGGTGACGGATTAAGAATTCAGAGTATCACCGCCCCTATTCATCCCGTGGGTGTCGTAAGAGCCGACTAAGGGAGCAAACTACGCAGAACAACTGGCTCTCAATTCTGCTATTTTATGTTCACGCCAAGCCACTGTCATACCAGTGACACGCTATTGAGATGACATCGAGTGGCCATTGGTATCGGTATAAATATCGGTAGTCTACACTATCTAAACAACAACAAAAACAGCAACGATAATTCTATTAATTACAGTGTATTATGCCGTTGTAGTTTATACATTTGTATCAATAAATATGATAAATCCATAACAACTTTATGGACCAAAATTAAAAAAAAAAACAAATTATAAGGCAATGATTTATTTATTTTTCCAAATATGGCAATCTTTTTGGTATCACCACTGATGAGGCACTGCCATTCCATTGCCACTGTAAAGACACTGAGTTAGTGTAGACTACCGATATTTATACCGATGCCAATGGCCACTCGATGCCATCTCAATAGCGTGTCAGTGGTATGACAGTGGCTTGGCGTGAACATAAAATAGCAGAATTGAGGCCCTGGACTGCAAATAGAAGGAAAACTTGATACAAACCCTATACCAACCAGTCTGGCCAGCGTGGACTATTAAAGGCTGATGATGTGATCTTTTTATTTTATTCTCATAGACCTATCGTCATTTTATTTCCAACTGTCCGCAGCTGCAGCAAAGAATTTTGTTGTTTAATATGCATATTACATTTTCAGTTTCACTGATGCCGCGCAACCCACAACCGGTGTCCGAATCGCTCATAAAACCGACTCGTATTATACGGACTTTTGAACGTGTATGTACGTGAAGTACGGTTTCCAAGAACCGCACTTATGGTGACTGGTGGCACATTACATTGCATTACACAGCTTGATCACTTCTATGTAAATGACAATATCAAGTAGTTCAAATCAAAGACTAAAATATAGTCTCCGTCTTTTTCTAAATGTATCTGATGAAGGCTAAAAGTTGAAGTTGTCAAAAAATTAATGTTGTAGAAATTAATAGGTCTTACCTATTAATTTCTACAAGATTATTTAAAAGCATAACTGCAATCCATCGTCGTATGACAATAATGAAAAATTTAATAGTTTTCGTTGTAAATTAGGCAGTTGGTCAATTAAAGAAACTGTAATTTAATCTTTAAATTTGTTTACTGTAGAAAATTAGGGGCCTGACTAACCTCTGGTGATGGATGGTACTCTCAATAAATACGAAATACAATGTGGCTCACTACTCGAATTCCTGTTGCCTCGCTAAGACGAGAATTTGTCCTTACTTGTCCGAACTTACATACCAGTAATTAAAGCAATGCTTAAAAAAATCAATTGTTTCAATGCAATTAGTAGACAGTAAGTTGTTGCTCAACCTACAACTGAAAATGTAGGTTAAGCAACAACTTATTGTCTAAGAAACAGAATCGTTGTAAATAGAATCGATATATGGACATTTTAAGGGAAGATTCCTTAAGAAATGTAATCTCGTAACTTATCCGAATGAAATTAATAGTAAAATATATATTTATATACATATAAAAATATATTATACTAGCTGACCCTGCAAACGTTGTTTTACCATATACATTATTTCAAAAAAAAATTGTCAAAACAAAAGTAGGGGTATGAAAAATAGATGTTGGCCGATTCTCAGACCTACCCGATATATATGCACGCTAAGATTCACGAAAATCGAGCCGTTTCGGAGGTGTTCAACTTCTAACACCGTGACACGAGAATTTTATATATTAGATATATATTCTCTAATAGCATCACGGTTTTATCTTTTGTGACCACTAAAAAAAATACTCTTTACATTCCAGCGATCGAGAAAAACAATGTGTTAGAAAGGTCATCATGCGGTCGAGTATGGGTCACGGTACATTCTCCTGAAATAAGATTGTCAAACACACACAATATCGAAGATGCCATAGAATTGAATTGGGAGTTCGTTGGATGTTCAGATGTGCCAAAACAGGTCAGTGTATTATTGTTACATGTAAAATATTACACAAAACAAAAATCATAGTTTTAGTAAAATGTTGGGTATTTAATAAATGTTTAAAACATGGCATAAAATGGTAATGTTCAGAAATATGAATCTAATTCTTATCATGTCGATATTTACAACAACTACTCTGTCGGCAATTTCAATTCAGTTTTAACGTTGTTGCTTTTATGACCACTTGAGCTGAAAATAACCTGAACAAGATATTATATGAGACAAAATAAAAGCCAAATATAATGTAGAAGCGTAGACAATATAACAGGTTGCCTTATAAACTAACTGCCCAAGATAGGCTTAAAGTTCCATATCCTTTTACAATACACATTTTTCACTAATTAATCTGTGCACTTATAATGACACGCAATTTAGTTTATCTTCAAATTAATTCATGTTGCATCACAATGTGCCTCTTATAAAAACCAGCAGAAACGCATGTCGACATATTTAACAAAAAAAAAAATTATCTTTTGTTCCTGCCCCATTGCATGAAAAATTAGGGTGCTGGGAGAAAAAACACAATATTATTCCATTAATTTATTGCTTTCTAGGTTCTCAGTTGTATAAAATGAAAACGTATAAAGAATGCGTCTCAGTTTTTTACGCTTGCATATTTAAGTTGATAACGCAAACTTAAATATTGTACTTAACTAAATTTTATTTAAGACAAGTTTTAAATCAAACTATTTTTCCGAAATGTTTGACAATAGAAAGAGTCCACTGTGATCGTTCGGATTTTTAGCTTTTGTAGCCAAACGCCTCTAAAAAATGACCAAATGAAAATAACGGTGCAAGGATGACAACAGCGATTCAGCTATTCATAAAACGACGTCCTAGATCGTTCACGTGTCATAATCTATACACATTCTATACTTAGAAAATTGATTTTAGTAATTCTCTAATTGTATATGTGTTTGAGTCTGAAATTAGCATCTTGCATTAAGCAGTGATACGATTTTGTTGATACGATTCGATTTTATAACGGACTCAGTTAAATACCATAATAAAAAAATCTTCACATATTAACAATAATAATAATCTCACACATGGCTGATCCCAAACTAGGACTAGGCTAGTGCCACTAGCAGACGTTAGTATGTAGGCACTATAAAAGTGGTAGGTAATTGGTCCTGCGAAGCAGAAGCGTCTACTAAATTTTTTTTTTTTAGTGATAGTTGTCATTATTATTGACATTGATAACCTTATATAATAATGACATTATATTGTATGATTTTTTTTTATCGTTTGGCTCTCTTGCACATCAATAAGGTGGACGACAGTCGCGACACGTCCGTCATTCTCGTGAGCGAGTGCCAAAAAATACTTAAATATAGTAATTTGATCGATTGTTTATATTTTAACTAATAGATTACATTGGAATCACATTTTCAGTTGCGCTGAAAATCAATTTTTAACTACTGTTAAAAATAAAGGTTTTTTACCTATTCTTCATTATAGTATCTGAAACACTGAAACAGGCAACTACTATTACATCTGACTGAATCTGACTGACCCCTAATTCTGACAATAAATAAATCAAAAGTAAAGTGATTTGAATAAACCTATATTTAATTTTAATGTTTCATAACTAATAAGACACATTAAAATTTTAACCTAACCAACCTAGTATAATACTATTATTTTCATTTTATTGTAAACCGTATCAGGCTTTGTTCTATACTTTAATCACTTATTGCTAAGATCTACTCAAAAAACAAGAGACAAACTTCGTTACATAAGTCAACTAAAATCTATTGACATTAACAAGAACAAATAATAAAAATGTTAAATGCACAATAATAAAAAAGCAAAATTGTACTCGTTAAAGTGTGAATAGATCTGTGGCTGGATATAATTTCTCCATAATATGTGTTTATTTAGAAATATAAAAGTATGTTTATCAGCAGTCTGGTTACCATAGTACAGGCTCTGCCTAGTTCGAAATCAGACGGCCATATGTAGGATGTGTAAAGTTGTTGATACCTATTGTTATTCCGGCGTATGTACGATTCCAATCACATCAGGTAATCAAGGTTATAAAATATTATTATTGAAGACCTTTGACAGCAGTGCGTATTTGCGAGATAGACTAGCTACCTAGGTACTAATAGAAACAAATATTCCATATAGCGTAGTCGTCGGTATTAGAATAAACCCTTGCCAAAATATTGAGGCCGGTCTTCTCAGACTCTATTACAACAACACACCTTAGAAATCACTTTAAGCTAATGCGAACCACTCAAAGTATACTATAAGAATTAAATTATTAACACAAACGGTGCTACATTTTTAAAACTAATGCAGGAGCTTGCATTTTATAAATTGACCAAGCAACAGCACTAACAATAATACTTTGGTGTTTGAAACCAACGCAACAGGACCCCAGGTACAGACACACGAGGTATGTCCGTGTGGTGACGGATTAAGAATACGGAGTGTCACCACCCCAATTTATGCCGTAGGTGTCGTAAGAGCCAACTAAGGGAGCAAACCCTGCAGGACAACAACACTGCAAAGGGAAGGAAAACTTGAAGCAAATCCTATACCAATCTGTCTGGCCATCGTGGTATAGTAGGCCAAAAGCTCCTTTCTAAGGAGAGGCCTATGTCCAACTGTGGACTATTAAAGGCTGTTGATGTGATGCGATGATTTGAAGTGGATAGTGATGATGACATCGGATACAAGGGCTTTCCTTAGTAGGGTATACTGGATCCCCGGCTACTGGTACCTAGAGACGGCGTGCGATTTTTAGTCGAGTCCGTCTTAACCACCCCAGTAGTGGGTGGTATCCGAGGGGAGCTGCGCATATAAAAAAAAAGGGTTTCCCCAAAATATAAACGCCGCATCCCTCACGAATGTTCGCCTGAAATACCTGCGTGGTACCAAACACATATATTGTAAAGAATAGTTTAACATCAGAGCCTAGGTAATAGGCAGGTACTATGCCATAACTTCCTTCTAAGGAGAGGCCTATGTCCAGCAGTGGACTATAAAAGGCTGTAGATGTGATGTGTGATCGAAGAGAAATCGGTACAAAATTTATAAAATTTATATGAATTAAAAATAAATTCGGATTAAAGGGTCAAAATCTTCAAACAGTATTGATTTAGTTAGAAATGTTAATAGAATTTATAGAAAACTTACTAATTATTGTTAAATCTTTAATACCACTCACAAATTGTGACATAACCATACCCACGACTGCTAGGGGCAATGTATGTACCGAGGGGATTTCCGCACGAAAAAAAAAGGCGCAATGTATGTAATAGCGACTGTTGTTTTACTATTTTTAATAAACGCGTTACTCTTAAGTGTCAAGAAACTACAATTAGGTCCTGTAACATTACTACCAACTATATAAATAATAATCAGCAATAATTAATTTAAAATATGTAACATACGTACGTAATGTATGTGTTATGTAACAATAATAAATTATTAAGGTACCAAGTCACTGCGTTGTATTAATGTACGGTCAAAAGTGGAATCATGTGGGTCACAAAGATGATCATCTAAAAAAGTATAAATTTAGCTAATCTGTTATTGTCAAAAGTGTCAATGAACCCTTTTAGCCTTTTGCTTCTTAATAAACAAAAGATAACAACCGGTCCCATAATATGACCCTAAGCTTTCATTTAGAAGCATAACGGTTTAAATAACTTGTTTTTGACTCAGGACTAATGAACGATAAGAAAAACGACGAAAATTTCATACATATTTATCTTTACTAAAATGTATTAAAACCTTGACTTTCGATCAAATATATATAACACCTCGTTCTTCAAGAAATTAATAAAACACTCTTGTCGAGCTTGTGTCTGAATCACTTCATTCCATAATTTGCTATAAATCTGTCGCACTGAATTGATACTAATATACTCACTTTAGTCACAACACTTTCTTTATATGCTTTTGTCTGCTGCCTTTATTACAAATATTAACCTTATTTATTCCTTGACTCTAGAAACAAACTGGTTTTGAAATTGTAACATTTTCGTGCATCATAATATTTCGCGATTCGCTGTTCATAAAATTCGTTTTGGATACTGATGTGGAATGCGTTCGTGGGTGTCGGTAAGTATTATATAATTTCCTGTGATGAGACGTGACGCCGATGACAAACAGTTTTCATTCACGTGATAGATAAAATGCTTCTGCAAAGTTACTACGTTATGAAATCTAACAGAGGGAGTAATCAGCGTAATGTCGCCTACTAGTAAATGGGTACTGTTAAATAGGATTACCGCACATTTGTGAATAAAGGTATATCGAAAACCAGCTTGTATTCCTTTTTCATATCGTGCCATAGATACCTAGACCTACGTTCATTTTAAAAGTATCGCTAAAATACATTAAAGAATGTGAATTCTTTGAATATTTAACTCCTTAACATTGGTGGGTAAGGTAATGGGACTGGATTGACTACTTTTTTAATAGTATAATTTCGAGACATAGGTATTACATTACTTTATTCCATAAACTCATAATAAATATTCAGCGATCTTACAAACGTTTATTTCCTAATCGCTTTTTACCTATTTCCTTAGAACGTCTGTCCTCCGCACCTTAAAGCAAAAGAGAATGAAGAAGACATGTTCTTTTTAAATGTGGTTATATGTGTGGCGCCTTCCACATACAGTAAAACAAAAACATACTACATCGCCATCTAACGAAGACAAGCTAACTGCAACTCCTGTTTCGCGATATTAATAACTCTCGCGCCGATTACCACGAACGAATTACGAATTTCTTTCAGTACATTCTAACTCCTAACCTTTGCCTCTACCATTCTTTGATAAAATATTATGATTAAATATAGACTAGTTTCTGAGGATTTAGAAAAATATAACAAAAAAGGTAACAATAACGACATAAGCGTAAATGTAAGCCACTGTTGCAATGGCAGCTAACAAACAGAACAGTAATACACGTGGTTTACCTTAAAGACAAGTCGCATTAGCAATGTATCTAAGTAAGTAACATCTGCCTTTTGATGGCCATTTTAATGGAAGTAATCCTTTCGCCGTATAAATAAGCGGGTTTTATTGTTGAATTTCAATGATAACTTAATAGTATTATTGAAGTTTATAAATATAGGTATTTTATTCTAATAGGATGTCTTTTTACATAATAACGGTCAATAAAATTACATTATAGTAGGCACAATCTTATTGAGTAGCTTCTCACTTCATTATTTGTAATTATTTTCATAGATTGGACTGTTTGATAATCGACCTACATCATGGAACAACGTCATCGCTACGTTTGTGATAAACTCAGTTGAGGGTCATATTGTAACTAACATCCCGCTGGGTGATGTATCTCTGCCTGGCGGTTGGGAAACCGGACAGGGGTTGAGAGGTCCTCATTGCCTTTGGCCGTGGGTAGGAGCCGGGGACGCGCAAGGAATACAGTCATACAACTGTTTAAAGATACAACCTACTTGGATGGAAGACGCAGGGTGAGTAATTAGCTTAATTTATTTCTAAGGAATATTTAAAATTGGTTGATGTACCACCATATTAGCCACTTATACACAGTAAAATAAAATCAACAAAGTAAATACTATCAGACGTTATTACCAATTTTTGATAAACTACCATTTTAGTGGAATACCGACGCACCTAGAAAGGAGATGATTCTTTAAATTTAGAGGTTAGTTATTAGTGTTCTAATAAAGCTTTACGCGTAGAATTTAGCTCAAGGCTAAGCAAGGATAATTTCGAGATCACAATGAGGTGGGCAGTTAGCAAAAGTTCGAAAGAGCTAGAACATCAACATTAAATTACCAACTTAATCTGAACAAAAAGTGTGAAGAACTTTTTCTAGTATCCCACTCCAATACGAGAGTATGAAGTCAATAAATCATAAATAGTGTGCTTCCATATACCACTACATTCCAAACCAGAATTGTTTTTTTTAATTAGATCTAAAATCAACAATCTGCGTATCGGTGATCTGGCGATTGCGGGTACTCATAATGCAGGTGCCTGGCGCTTTGACACTGAGACAAGTAACCAGTCACGGGATAATTTCATCCTGTGTCAAGATCGCTCCATCTGGGCTCAGCTCGTCCACGGCATAAGATACTTTGATTTTAGAATTTCTTTCTACAGCCACTTTGAAGAAGAAGACGACAGGTATGTTCCTTTCTTAATATAAGCGATATAAATCTTAATTTATAATGATCTTTCTTCAGATTGTTGATTTTATGTATGTTGACTTTAGAGTTTACATAAAAGACAATTTCAAATAATTGTTTTTTTTTTAATAAAGACACTACTTACTTACTTCTTAATGTAGTTCCTAAGTAAAAATAATATTCCTGTGACATAAAACATTTATTACAGAAGTGTGTGTTTTACATTATTATAAAAGCATTTTAAAATATTTAGTTCATTTAAAATTAAATATTTCAAGGACCTGTAATAGATGGTTACCAATCGAATGAAACACGCTTTTTATCCATCGGCAAATTGCGTACTGCCTAATCTAAGGGCATGTTTTAGACACTATATTATATTATCATTGATTTTAGACCTTATAATACTCTCCAAAAAAAGATTGGGGCTACATGACTGAAAATGTTTGACTGAAAACAACCAAAGTATCAATCGAACAAATAGCGAAAAATATCTTGGGCTAATTATTGATAGCAACCTTACATGGCAAAGTCACATAGAAAAACTTAAATCCAAACTATCATCTCTCACAGGAATCTTAAGACCCCTCTCACGATGTCTGCCACGTAAAGTGCGTTACTTTATATATAACTCTCTGGTAAAGTCCCATATTGATTATTTAATAGAGATTTGGGGCACATCCTCCAAAACTAACTTAAACTTACTACAAAGAGCCCAAAATAGGCTAATAAAGGTCCTTTTCCACTTTGATTATCTAACGCCTACTGAAAAAGTATAAAGAAACACAAAAATACTAAATCTAACCCAGACTTACGTATACTATACCTGTTTATTGGTGCGTAAAGTATTGGGCGGGGATATCCATACACAAATAAGTTTCACCATAAAAAGAGACGTTCAAAAGACTCAATTAAAAAGTGCTAATAATATAGTTTTGAAACCACCGCGCACCAACTGTGGCAAAAAGAATCTCATATATAACAGGCTTCCTAAAGATATTACGAATTCGCGATCCATCGCTTCTTTAAAAAAAATGCTTAAAGATCATGTAATTAAAAACTACAAGTAATTACTAAACGTATGCATCTTAATATTAATCAGACAAACAAACGATTAAGCTAAATAAATATAGAATAAAGTGAAACACACTTAAAAATAATTATCATTTTACAACATATTGTTCACTCCGTCTACGCTCGAAGTTAGTGTAGGTAACCGTCAAAAACATTATTATTTTGATACCGCTTTTATGTGTGCTCACAAATAAAATGAGTTGTGTATTAGCATTATGTTCTCATGTTAAGTGAATTGTATCATAATTCTTAATGAGAATAAATAATTTTAAACCAAAAATGTTCAACTCTTATGAAGTTAAAACGTTCCTTTCCACCCAAGCTTGTGTATATCCAGCCTTACGTCTTGCGATGCAATACGGTGTTCTTAATAATCGTATCTTGATATGTCTGGTCTAGAGTCTAAATATATTTTTAATAAAAATTACTGACCCACGACAGTCATTCCTAAATATAAATACATACCAAACCATCACTTAAACAGGATAATGTATACTTTAAACCGTACTGACAATCGAGAAGCTTCTTTTTCTTGCTTCTGGCGTAGGCTCGGTCTTCCTACTAGTTGTAATGTTATTTCATAGTAACAATTATTTCAAGTAAGTTAACATCTATGAATTTTTTCTTCTTTCTTTTATTTTTATAACAAATTGATGTAGCCTATTAAGTACACAAAAAATCGTTTAAAAGAACATTTAGTTAATACTAGCGATCCGCCCCGGCCTTACGGCGTACGGGTGCAATGTACCTACTACTAATACTACTAACGTGGTGATAGTGTGGATTAATTAATTATACTATTATTATTATAGGACTATACTACAGGACATAATTATGTAATATTTATAGGCCCTGCCACCTGGGCCGGACGTACGGCCCGATAGCCGCTTTAACCCCGCATTTTAAACCTAAGAATATGGATTAATAATGTATTGTTTAAAATAAGTTTGTATAAAAGATAAAGTGGTTACTGTGGGTTATCCTTAGAAGATAGACATATACCACCACGGACTTTCATAAGGATGATTTTTGAATTTGATTTCCAATTAACCTTCACCAAGCTTTTATATAACTATATGTACAATAGGGAGACTGGTAACAGTTTTAACAAGTATAAAACGACAAGTTGTTAGGTTATTGTTAACGTACCGCAGGTCGACCGACTCAGGTGCCGGAGGTCGCAGAACGACCTCCATCCTTCATAAGTGCAGGCCTGGGGGTGACAGGTGAGGTCATGTGTCACCCTAGCAGAAGCAGGCCGGTTCAATTTTTCAGTACAAATCGGAAATTGAATATTTTATTCTCCAATTTTAACAATTTGAGGACATCGTCAAGCATGAGTATTCGACTCGAGATGTATTGTATTCGATTAGTTAAGGCATGTCACATCCTAATCAGGCTCAGCATATAAGGCAGCAGTATATACCTACCTACATATTAAACTAAATCATGTCACCAGAAACTAAGTTAACTAATTCTACTACTGAGTTTGAACTTATTATTTTCCGACGATGAATAAAGTACAGGTTTATTATTTCCAGGTATTGGCTAAATCACAATTTAGTACGAATCCGGCCCTTGGTTCCCCTTTTGAGAGAGATCAGACAGTTTCTTGATAGTACTAAAGAAGTAAGTTGAAATCTAACACTACTTGCAGTATGAGGAAATCATGTATGATGCTGGAATAGTTTAACAGCTTTATAAGAAAACAATTATAAGAATGTAGTTAGTAATATAACTAATTCGCCGTATAAGTACCTTGACTATCACAAAGAAGTTAAAACATTTAATTTTGTACCATTTTTAAATAATGATCGCCTTGATTTGCGTGGTTTAAATTTTTATATACGCATCAAAACATTAAATTAATTATTCTGTTGCACAGGTCGTATTTCTGGACGCTCATCACTTCCCAATCGGTTTCTACGACTCGAATGGTTTACCCATTCGCAGCGTTCATACGGGTCTCTTAAGGATTGTCCAAAGAGAGCTAGGACCTCATCTAGCTCTTGCTAGAGACTTCGCAACAGGTGTAGGTACTAGAGGTCGCACGCTGCAGACCTTTATCAACGCTGAGAAACGTCTACTCTTCAGTTACGTAGACAACACCATAGTTAGTGGTAAGTACTGTTACTGAAAATGTATTATTTCACTTAAGGAAAGTGTGTTTTTTAATAAAGAACAGACAGATTAAACATATTTACTTATTATTTTCATGTTGTGAATGCATATTAAAATATACGATGTTATTTCAATATGCATTCACCCCCCACGATGAAATTAAATGTAAGGTTACGGTACCTTACTGTGTTACTGATTTAGTATTTTCTAGTTAGTAACTAGAGGTTAGGAGGTAAGTTGTCAGGAATTTATTACTCATTACTGTCGAATGTCAACATATATGTAAATATATAAAACTGAACTCGAAAATAAACTAAAATTTATTTAAAAGCGTTGAAGCCGTATTGCCAATAGATTCTATTAAACTGGCTTTTTAACATACCTACATAGTGAGAGAGCCCAACTGTTAAAACATGTCCGCAGCTACGATTGACATTAATAACTGAGTGGATACAAATCGATGTACTTGCATTGTATTATTTATATATACATTAAAATTACTAAAAATTAGAAAGAATTACCTTCATTCGAATCTACTAGCCTAGTAGCCCACGTCTTTATGTTTTCTCTCACTCTCTTTATGTTTGTTTGAAAAAACATAAAGACCACTTATTTTGATTTGGATTTGAGTAAATTGCTTTGATTGCATGTCTTAATTACAACTGCAATTTGTAGGTATGTTAAAATATCTTACAATATAGAAAATAATGCCCAGAAACTGAGTAGTTTTACCAATATTTATTGAATAATAAAAAATAAAAATGTTTTTTTTACAGAAAACAACTGGCTGTGGCCGATTCTACCTCACTTATGGGCCAACACGAACAATCCAACTCAATTAATTCAGTTCTTAGACAACGCGATTGCAAACTCACCAAGTCCTCACGCTCGATCGCCAATGTTCTCGGCAATGGCACAAACTACACCCCATATTTTCGATATTATTTTACAGCGTGGATCTATACGAATCAATGCTGATCTAGTTAATCGTGTCGTAAACACACGATTGGCGACTCTTTGGCGTAGTAGAAGCAACATCATCTCCTCAGATTTCTTCCTTGGAAACGATCTTGTTGATTTGTCTATAATCATAAGCGTGGAGCGTGGCTCACGTTTATGACATCATCACCATCGTTACCGAAGCGGCGGCCTTCATGTGGCTGGTTCACGACGTCACCGTGTCGACATCGCGAAGGGACGCTCGCCGTGGCTCCCGCGGAAACTGAACCGCTCTGAACGACCGCGACTACGCCAGCTTTACTTACAAGACCCAATTAGCTACCTGACTTAACACTGCCATGCATCAAGAAGCCAGTTGACGAGTTTTTTTTATATTAAATTGTAGAGTAGAGAGTTTCAACTAGTCTATCAAGTATTTAAAATTGTCCACACAAATTGTAAATACAGATATGCCAAAGAATTACCGCATTTTAATTTTTTTAAATAAAAGACAAAATAATGAGTCTGTCCTTTACTTAAAAATACAAGGAGTTTGACAAACAATAAATAATATCTAGAATAATAATATCTAGATTTATGTAGATGTAATATTACTTGTACTGGTGCAACAAAAAACGAGGTAGATTCACTGTGCTTAATCAGCACAAAAACAGTTCTTAATATTACTCAGGTCAGAGATGCGGCGCAAGAAGAGGCAATAATTCTGCACGACTCATGCGAGACAGCTGCCGCGCATCTAGTCCCATAGCGGCTGCTGCGCCACGTACGTCTAAACCAAAACTTTGTAAAAGCACTGCCAACGCCACCTCTTCACCCGTGCGAGGATCTCGCAACCGGGGACAAGAACCATTACACTGAGGCCAGGTACACCTCTCTATCAGTTTTCGAGGAGCGCATCCAGCTTGCGTTTTTCTCCTACCACTCCCAATCCTCTGCTCCCAGCACGCAATCGCTCGAGGAAGTGTTATACCCGACACGTTTATAGCTAGCCATTCAGGCCGCGCCAAAGCTCCGTGCGCCAAACAAGCAGGTGCAAAGGCCGCGCGTACCGATGCCAAGCTTACACGCAACGCTGCACCAGTTTGATGTACTGCATCCCACTGTGACCGAGTGCGAGGTGCGCGTACTCCTTCAGCAGCCAATTGCGCTGAATCAAACAAATATTGAAATATAAACAACGGCGTCCGAATATGTGGATATAGTTGGTAACCAAAGTAGCACATCCATGGTTCGACTACGTGGTTGCGTACACAAGAATTTGGTGGACTTCCACGCCAAAGAGTGTGCCCGAGTCTGGCCACGGTAGCCGCCGGAGGACGTCGAGCTCGTGACGGTCGATCAAGGAACCAACCTGAATCGGCGATAGCAGCGACACGAACATCGTGGGAACGCAAAGCGCGTCGTGCAGCGTCGGCGTGAAGCATGACACCCGCACCTCCCGCACTTGAACCTACTAGCAACATCCGTCCTTTGAGTCCGTAATGAACTAAATCCGATAACACAGCGCGCACGATAAGTCTACCAGCAAAATGAAACCCAGTACCAAGATGAGGTGAGCTTCTTGTGCCTGCCCACATGTCGCTGGAACAATATGGTAGCAATACGTGGTTTGAATCATGCCAGAGTGGGTTGGCACTAGGGTCGGCGGAAAGTAGCGCCGGCGCACGCCGGGCTCGTGGCCAGCGTGTAGATGACATGAGCGAAGGCCGACGTCGCCATCGCGCTTTGCACGACACTGTGTCCCAGCAATATCCGCCACCCTCCAAATACACAACCCAATGGTCGTTATTTATGCCGCGTCGGAAATAATACCTGAAAATAAAATACCATAATAGATCAAACAAAATATAAGATAGAGACTGGGTAGGTACCAGGTAGATATAACATAGCGGTAGGTATCAAACTCTGCAAACTTAAATCGTTGTTTTTAGATAAAAGGGCCAACTCCTCATCGATACTCAACATCATCATTTATTAAATAATTGTTGTGAAATAAGCATTTTAATATTGTTATTCATTTGTGTGAGGTCCTACCGTATTATTAACAAGTTTCAAGTTTATTAGAGTTTTTATAATGTGTTAATCACTAAGTCGTGCCTTCTTTATAGTTTACAAACAAGTCATGCAAAATCCCATCGCACAAGAGAAAATGCTATCACAATATTAATGATTCAAACTATTTAATATAATAGTTATAATTACCCTGCGGGGCTTCCATCGTTGCATGAAAATGTGGTGTTAGCGAGCCACACAAGTCGCAGGCTATCTGGAGGCGCGCTGTCACAGACACCAAACAACACCACCTGACCATTCAAAATGATATTATTCAACATTAACTACGACTACGATCATTAAATAAAAGTATAATATTTAAATAAAAAATAAAAATCATTAAGCAGGTTTCTTTTAAGAAAAACATCACCAAAAGATGCCATGGGTACGCCATGTAATCGTAGCATGCTGCCATTCTTTTAAATTTATCAGTTTGTAGTTCTATGAAGAGCATGGTGCCCGTCCTAATTCTAATTTGGTATCTTTAGAAATGCGTAGGTGAGTTTGTTTATTTATCAATTAATAAATTCAACTGATCAAAATGAAATTGTACATGTAACTTGTTAGGTGTCTTGTGAATTAAAATACATAGGATACCTTTCCTTCCGAAAAAAATACTGTTGATAAGGAAACAAAAAAAAACTATAACGCGAAACAAATACGGGCAAAAGGTACTTCCTTATAATTATATTGCTCCATATTGTATCTTTAATTCTATAATATTTATATATTATTGTTACTACAAGAGATACGATTCTATAAAAGTTATTTGTTATGATTTTAGAAAAACTAAATACAAGACTAACCAGAATTATACTAACTATATATTATATAGTAAAATAGTAACTGATGTATTTTATTGTTAGATTATAGAAAAGTTTTTAAGTTCGCGGGTTAAAAATATTGAGAGTGATATATACCTATAAACGAATATCTTCAACGCTCATTCCGTTTTATGCGAACTTATTACTTATTCGTAAACTAATGGTTACGTATATCTTTTAAAAGTGTAAAAACAAACTTTTATACTTATAAATTACTATATGTAAATTTAAAAGTTTGTTTTTTCTTAACTTATTATTTAAGACAATTGTCTGACCGGTCTTAACATTTATTAGCATAGTCGAATACATTTATACATATTATTTAGAATGTTCCCAACATTCTTGTTTCAATAAAACCTATGTAGATATAGCTGTAAATTGAGTCTAGATTCTTGTTCTAATTTCGCAAGCATACGGTGCTCTTGTGAATTCGATGAATTAAATTTAGATACCTACAAATATGCTTAGTTGCAGAATTGATTTAATTGCAATACGGAACGCTGGCATTTAAACTGTATTTAGTTACAATCTGCCAAATTTAATATTTCTAATGTATTTGTATGAACTTAAGAAATTTAAAAGATAAATCTAAACAGATCTATTGATCTTATACTGTATTAGTATCAGTGGTTAAGTAATAATTAAAGCCATTAAATTAAATATAGGCAATCTTATAAAATGAAATTGCAAAGTTATACTAAAATCAAACAGTCGCTGGACAATGGAAATGATAAAATATACAAGATGCCTCACTTTAACGAATAAGCTTTGAATTCAATATAAAAACAAACACTTTTGTAAATATCACATTACTTTGTTGTTCAAGATTCACACTCAAGCTTGACATTTTGAGTGTCACTATTTACGTTCACAGGTAATTAACAAGAGTGTACAATACACGGGTGTCACAAAATATTAAAGCAATGCGTACACAGAGCGTCCAAACAATCCAAGAGTGCCTGGTGCGGCTGTGCGAGCCGCGATGGCGCGTCCTCATCGCTCAGCGTGGACGAAGAGCGAGCGCGGGCGCTGGCGACGAGCCGGAGCACACCCCATACTGGCGGACGCAAGCGAGCCACTGTGCGCGACTGCGGACCGCGTGCCCCGAGCGGCACACGGTAGCTCCCGCTGTTTACAAAGTAAAGCCTCTATTTAGAACAAGGGCGAAGGGCCCAATTCTGTGCACCGTGCGCCGCCCGACCGAGTACGCGAGCGGGCGGCTCGTTTGTGCGGTAGGGGCGTCGGGACCGGCTCCGGCGGCGAGATCAAAAGCGCCGCAGATCAAAGGAACCGCCGCGCGATCGGCATCCGTCATTATTATTATGCAAGCATTACGAGGCGCGCGTGACTCAGGCGAGAGGGCCACGCGAGATGCGCGGGCGCCGCGCCGGCTGCCGCCCTCCCCCCGCAGGCCCTGTGCCACCCTCCACCTGTCAACAGCATCGACACCGAACAAAACGACCGCCCTCGGGTCTTGTAGACGAACCGAGCGCCTCCTCCTTTACAGATTAACCATACACATGGTCTTTAAGGCACAATCTTGCTCCTATATATTATATACATTTTGCAAATATTCTTAAGAACAAAGTTTGCCGTCGTTGAAGTGGTTTAGTAGGAAAACAATAGGTAAATATCATCTACTTTGTTGGAAACTTTATAACTACTCATGCTGACGATATAAAGAACTTGATTTTTCTCAGAATGTTTATCTTGTCCGCCAAAAAACTTTTTTCATCAAAAGCGTGACTTAAATAATAAAATTAGAAGAATAAAGCTTTGCTTTCGAACCTGTGACGAACAAACAGTCCTTAAGAGGTTATTGTTTAGTGTAAAAAATATAGAATACTTAACTAGCTATTTGCTTGATCAATACTTCGAAATGAAAATTTTACTTATATTTACCTGCTAGATAATGTTATTTATAATTGGTAAACTTTGCGAACGCAATTTGCGTACTCATGTATGGATGTATTTATTTACAATCACATATCACACGGCAATTTCGGTAGGAATGGCACGGCAAAAGATACGATAGATACGATAAGATTTGAAAAAAAACCTAGATACTACTGAAAACTAGTAATACAGTAGATTTATGTATATAAATAACTATTTAATTTAAATATTTTTTTATGTTCTTAACAACTAGTTCCAACCCTGACAAACCCTATGAGGCTATCATACCTACTCAACTTGTTAAAAATAGCTTCAGAATAAGTTTGAGAAGAAACCAAAATCTTTATCATCACTATAGTGTTCGTTTTCTTCACTCTCCGCTTACTCGTAACTATTATTGGTCATTAAAAATAAAAAACAAAATTCTACTCCAAGTCATATACAACAGTAAGGAATCGTGTACGTCACGCGATTAGGGTGCAAGTTCCTTGATCTATGCCGCATATGAATAAAAACGCCATGATGAATAGGACCGTAAAAATTGTTGTAAAAATCTCAGAAAGGTCTTCACTAAATGTAGATTTAATTCAAACTCCATAATTTTTGAAGTACCTTTCATTTTATTTAAGTCTAGTAGCCCGTGCGTCTGAGTAGGATGACAACGATTGTGAATATTTCTATCATAATGACTATAAACTCGAAATATTCATTAAAAAAATACACTTTCAAAACACTCATTAAATACTTTTACAATTAACTTATGTCAATAAAGATTTTAGGTACCACATAATTTAACCATAAAGTGTTATTCCAAAAAAAAATATCCGGAGTTTATAAAATTGAAGGTAGTCACCGAGTTAAGTAGAATATAATTGGCGGGCGGCATGGCAGGCGCTCAAAGCGTGTACCTGCCTGTAAAAATGCCATCATAAAGCCAAGCCGCCACAATGAGCCATTTGACAGTTGGTACCCACCTTTATGATGCCGACTCTGATATACGAGCCGAAACCATTTAAGCCTATTTTATCGACTCGTCTCCCAACACAACGATCTAGGTACCCCGAAGCTCCGCATAGTAAAATGAGGCGTCTAAAGAATTACGCGATACTACTACTTATAAATAGAGCGGAAGGAATAAACCATTTAGTTGGACCATTCAAAATCTTTATAGCTTATTATTCGAGCCCATTAAAACTTAGTGGGACGGCCCTTTTAACAGACCTTTTATAATACAAGACCATTTTATATACCATTTTCCATAACAATGAACATACTATTTTTTTCATCTTATAAATTTTCATAAATCATTTTTATCATTTAGAACAACATACGCAATTTGTTTTTTTTTTGTAATTGCCAACGTTCTCCTTATTGGAACACAATATGATAAATACGTATTAACATAATGAAGAAATACCAATGGTCTTAGCTCTTGAAATCGATTTCCTACTGGCTGCCCCGATAGACATTCTATCAAAAGTTATCCGCCTGTCGCACTCCAATAGAAAAAATAAAACCATAAATAAAACGTATTTTATACAGTAATCACTTTTCTTCGAACTTTATTTTGCGCATGCATAGCCTAATCAGTGCAGCCATAAAGCCTAATCAACTTAGCAGGCGCTGTAGTTTTTATGGGCAAAGAAAAGTGTTGGTTTTACTACTTTTATTGAAAGTTTTTGTTTTTTCTTTGAATAAGAACCTCCCTTTATAAGTCTTAAATAGTCTAGCCTTAAAAAGTCCACTGCTGGACATAGGCCTCTCCTTAGAAAGGAGGTTTTAGCGTACTATACCATGCTGCCCAGACGGGGTGGTATAGGGTTTGTTTTTAGTTTGCCTTCTCTTTACAGTGCTGTTGCTTTCTTAGTCGCCTCTTACGACACCCACGGGTTGAATAGGGTTAGTAAAACTTCCTATTCTTAATACCTTAATCACACGTACAGCTTAATCCGTCTCCACACATACAAGTGCCTTATGTCTCAACGAAAATATGAAATACAAAATGATCCAAAATCCCGTCTATACGAGTACTATGGTAGCTAGACCACTTCAAATCATCACATCACATCAACAGCCTTTAATAGTCCACTGCTGGACATAGGCCTCTCCTTGAAAAATATGTTTTTGCCTACCATTCCACACTGCCCAGACGGGTTGGTATAGGGTTTGTGTCAAGTTTTACTTCTCTTTGCAGTTCTGTTGTCCTACGTACTCTGCTCCCTTAGTCGACTCTTACAACACCCACGGGATGAACAGGGGTGGTGATTTTCCGTATTAATATTAAAAATTTATCCGTCACCACACAAATAAGCCAGACCACTGATTAATATACTTAAATATTTATAAATACATATGTACATATAATATAGACCTAACCACAAAACAAATGATCTCACTTTCCACACAATTAACTGACCGTTCTGGTAAAGAATAAGACGATCTTTGGCTCCACATTCAAGATGCACTAACCATTAGACCCAAGGGGCCGGCGCCGATAACAGCCGTCGAGGGCGCTGCAGGCCGCCAGAGAGGGGACCTCTGGTGGCAAATTGATTGCTGCGGTAGGGCATGGAACGCATTAAGATGCGATCGGGCCGCCATGCCGCGATTGTTGTGGGAAGTGTTCTCCCCTGGGATAGGGCCTGATTAGGCATGGTGTCAATTCGGGGTGGACCTGAAATAACATGGTCCGGGTCCTCCCCAGAGTAAGACACCTGAGGCCGGCCGTCGGGGTGGTTTTTAGTGGAATCACCACATACTCCTGGCTCATAGTCCCCGAGCAGCAGGAGATCCGAAGGGATTTTCCACCCCGTCAACAAAAAAAAAAAAAAAGACCCAAGGGGCAGTACATAAATAGATAACTCTTAATTCGTTTTATCTTACGTGACTTAATATATATAATACTAGCTTTTGCTCGTGGCTCCGCCTGCATGTATGTCGGTTATCACGGTGAAAAGTAACCTATGTCCTTCCTCTAAAATCAAAGTATCGCCTTGCGAAATTTAATTAAAATCGGTTCAGCCGGGAAAGCGTAACAGACAGACAGCTTTACTTTTGAATTTATTTATTTAAATATACTTAATACACAAGTTGTACATAGGCGGACTTAATGCCCTGGACCTCAATTATGCTATTTCAATATTGTATCAATAGATATGTCCATACCAAGATATCCTATTGCTTCTTAACTTTTCATCCAGTGGCGCTACTTTCAAACTCCCTCTTATATACTCATTTCCAACTTTGTCCATCCGAGTCACACGACACATCCATTTCAGCATTCGCATTTCGGCTACGTTCAGGCGTCTCTCATCCGTTCTCTTAATGGGACAACTTTCAGAACCATACAGGACGGCAGGTCTGATGATAGTTTTATAAATTTGTCCCTTCAGTGTGTTATCGCTATCCCATCCAGCGAAATGGTTTCAGGACTGGAAAGACCCCCGAAATCGCAGAACATGTACTCAGTTTTGGTTCTGCTGATTTTCAAGCCAACATTCTCCAGCCATTGTTGCCATTTTTCCAGTCTGCTCTGGACCTCACCCCCGTCTTCACCGACCAATTCATGCAACAACATATTGAAGAATAAAGTCAGCCACGCATATCCGTCTTCTTTCATTAACTTCCAAACTTCCACTGGTTTACCGTCAGGGCCAACTGCTTCTCCATTGATCGTACTCCGTACTGCCAATCTGACTTCATCTATACTAGACACTCCGACATTCACATCCACATCCTTCAGCACTCCGCTCCATTCGTTCTCTTCATTTATAAGTTTTTAAAGTAAGTTTTCTATCGCTCTTTTATATCTTCATCTTTAACCAACACTCTCCCCTCTTCTTTTATACATTGCACATGCTTTAGGTCTTTTGCTCTTTCTTCCCTGTTTTTAGTAGAGTTATTTTTGACTTCTAGGTACATGTAGGTGTTAAAACATTTTGTATTGAGGTTGAGCTCTGGCTACCGCACCCCCTTTTTTTGCCTTTTTCTTCCACTCTTTATATTCATTCATTTTGGCTTTCTTCATTCTCTCACCCCCCTTTCCATTTTTCCACGCTTTAAAGGCACCCTACTTTTCTTTTAGAGCTTTCTGCACCTAATCACTCCACCTTTCAATACTGCTTTTTCCTTTCGTTTCCCCAATTACTTCTCTCGCTATCTTTCGTATATAATTTGCCATTTCACTCCACCACCCATATACACACTTGTCTAGCCTTGCATTCATTTCAATCATTTTTTCTACCCCCTTTACCTTAAAGTTACTTGCATACTCTTCTTTCTCTAACATTCGCCACCTGATTCTTGGAGAAGGTTGGTTCTGCTTACTTTTACTCAAAATCTTCCATCTGACCTCCATTACCAGCAATCTATGTTGCGATACTACGGGCACGGTACCCGTAGTATCGCAACGGTGTCACGGGCATCACCTTGCAGTAAGATAAGATAAGTTAAAAAAATAGTTCTCCATACAAACCTGCACCCATTTTTAAGGGTACCTTTGAAAAATTTGTAAAAAAAAATTATTACTTTTAATGAAGAGTAGGTATTTACTATACTCGTAAGTTTGAAAACGCTACTACCAAAACTAAGTTAAAAATATTTTTTCATCCCCCGTTTTGCACCCATGGGGTGGAATTTTTTTAAATTCTTTTTTAGTACACACCTACGTCACCTAAGAAATATT